TTCAGTAGTCTGTGCTCCGTAAAGATGAAGCAAACCCAGTGCCAGCTTTGGAAGTAGCTCAGAGCCCCTCACGGGTTCAGCCACCTGACAATGAACCGTGAGGACGGGACGTGAGCCCCGCCAGCATCCAGGGTCCTCAGGACACGCGAGGCTGGTGTTCTCCTGTGTGGCCAAGCGGAAGCCTCCGGAACACTCGGCAGCTGCTGTCAGGATGCGTCTCCTCTGGGTCTGTCCATCACAGAGGCTCCGATGCCCAAGGGCCCAATGAGGGCCAGGGTGCTTTCCAACCATGAGCCTCTCCTCAAACAAACGCTGAGAGCAAGGAAGCTGAGAGAGTTACGTGAGCATGCTGACCGTCTTAATGAAAATCAGCCAAAACCGGTTTGGCTCAGTGGATAGAGTACTGGCCTACGGACTGAAAGGTCCTGGGTTCGATTCCAGTCAAGGGCATGTACCTTGGTTGCGGGCACATTGCAAGAGGCAGCTGATCGATGATTCTCTCTCATCAGTGTTTCTAATTATCTATCCTTCTCCCTTCCTCTCTATAAAAAAATCAACAAAATATATTTTAAAAAAGAAAAGAAAATCAGACACACTCTCTGACATACGACAGGGAGACGAAGGCTTGTGGGGCTGGCATTTACAGCAGTGCTTGGACCACCGGGTCACAGACGAGTCTCCCAGAAACTGCCGTGTGGGGCTCAGCTCCTCACCACAAGTTTTAAACGGCAAAGCATTGGATGGGGCAAAGGGACTGGCCCCCTGAGGGCATCACTGACCCTGACGGCAGAAATGAAAGGCAGCTGGCATTGTGTTCACTCACTAGGATGGGTAATAAAAGCAAATTATTAGCGTGTACCAAAAGCAAGGCGCAGAAGAGGCCTGGGTGGCTGTGGGCCGCGTGGGGGGCAGCGGAACATTCTGTGAAGTTCCTCTGTGCCAGGGTGGGTCTCCAGAAAGGGGGTCCCTCTGCTGGGTCCCAGGGCAACCTTTACACAAAGCCACGCCAGAACCTGACTCCATGGGCCAGGGTGCTCCTGGGGCAACACTGAATGGCCTACCCAGAAGGAGAGAGAAAGAGAAAGAGAGACACACAGAGAGAGAGACAGAGAGACAGACAGAGACTTTGCAAGCGGGAGCAGAGCACACACATCTGTAAACAGTTGTCTAACGAACAATAGAAAAAGTTTAGCAAATGCAATTCTAAAGAACACTCTTTTCAGAAGGTACAGTGAAGAAGAACATACTGTCAAGAAGGAATCCCTGAAGAAATAGATTTGGGCATCAGAGGACACAACGGAGTTACAGCAGTGTTTACCGTACACCCGTGGTTGGCAAACCGTGGCTCGCGAGCCACAGGCGGCCCCTTGAGTGTGGCTCTTCCACAAAATACCACGGCCTGGGCGAGTCTATGTTGAAGAAGTGGCATTAGAAGAAGTTTGAGTTTAAAAAATGTGGCTCTCCAAAGAGATTTCAGTTGTTGTGCTGTTGGTTTGGCTCTGAGGACTAATGAGTTTGCTGACCACTGCCACACACGATTGCAACCAAGACCCTGCGGAGTGGATGCAGCATAGCAAGCACTTTCAACGGGTGCCTAGTGCTTCCACCCTTTTCCTGCCTGTAACCAGGAGAACTCTGTTCTCCTGCCCAGGCTCCCCCTCCCTGGCTGCCCCCTCCCACCGCCAGGACCCAGAGCCACAGGGAAAGGGGACTCTGGTCCCATCTCCCAGGTACCTTCAACACTCATCACTTACCCCCAGCAGCTTCACTTCCACCTGGTTTATGTATTGGGCTCAGGTGAGGCGTTGTTTGCAGAAAGTATTCCGGGTGAAAACTCTGCTCAAGGTCAGCCCTCAGGCCCTTGCAGGTTTGCACAGGACTTCGGGATTTCAGGATTCCGGGAATGGAGGCCTCTCTCCCTAACACACCAGCTCCTATGAAGCCAAGTGCCCATCTGCCTCCTGGTGTCATTACCTCGCATCCAAATGGGCAACAGACACAGGCCCATGGGCATGGAGATGACCCCTGACCCCTGGCTCCAAATGGGAGGAGGCAGACCGTGCTGGGGCCCAGGCTTAGATGGAGGCGGCAGGAAGGGAGTGGGCTTGGCTCTGTGCTCAGCCCTGTGCCAGGGGCTCACGGTCCAGATCCCCTCCAATCCTGAGAGGTGTTTCTCTGCTCCCTCTCTCCTTCCCCTCCTTCGGGATTTACTCAGCACCTGCCTCTGCCAGGGCCTGGGGCACCAAGGCAAAGCTTGCTCCCCAAGACCTCACCGCCCCGTGAGAGCATCACCCAGAAAATGGCTGTGACTGGAGTGGGTGCAGGATTCGGGGGGAGCCCCAAGTGACTCGGGGAAGGCTCTCCAGTGGAGCTACAACGGAGCTGGGACCGGAAGGACGAGGAAGGGCATTGGAGGTGGAGGAACTGCATGTGTGAAGGCGGGGAGGCAGGAAAGAGCCGCCTGGTCGGGAGCTGTGGGAGGGCGATGGGGCCCAGGTCCAGATCTGCTGGGTGAGGCTGGGGTCCCAGAACCCATACCGGGACCCTCTGCCTCCTGGATCTCCTTCGCTCTTGGCTGCCTGGCCAGGAAGAGGCCCCGCCCCCTGCCCCAAAGGAGGCTGTGAAGCTGGAGAGAGGGATGAGGAAGGAGGGCCCGCTGCTGTGTATTTTTGGATTGCTTCTCAGAAATCCCCTCCTCTTCCCCCTCCTTCTGACACCATGGCAACCAGGTGGCCACTGGGGGAACACCTGTGAGCTGGGCTGAGTGGAGGGGAAGGTGGGCTGGGGGTAAGGCCCTCTGCTCCCCTCTCTGAGCCTCAGTGTTGGCATCTAGAAAATGGGCACCACAACCCAGCTGCTGGCTCCTGTCAACCCAGGTGCTCCAGGAAGCAGAGGCCCAGGCTGGACTCAGGAGGGGGAAGGCCTGGGGTGAGGGCGGGACTTGGGGGCCTGCACCTTCCTGGGCCAGGCGGCGGGGAGTCCCTCAGCCACGTGGCCTGCGCTTCCCACCCAGCAGCCCACCTGGTGCGCCCACTGCACTGTCACTGCCCAGGAGCCCAGGGGAGCGGGAGGCAGGACCGGGGCACAGACGCAGGGATGGGTCTCCCCGGGAGCCCGCCGGGGGAGGGCTAGGGTAAGGTGACCAGACGTCGATCCTTTGGCGGGACAGTCCTGATTTTTAACAATTTGGGCTGTTTAAAACGCCGCAGGACACGGGACAAATTGTTAAACATCGGGCTGTCCCGCCAAAAGCGGAATGTCTGGTCACCTTACGGCCCAAACCACCCCTGGGCAGGCAGCAAGCCGCGTGCGAGGGCGTGCACGGCTCCACGTACTCCAGGTGTGCAGCACAGGCGCACAGGTGACAGGTGTAACCAACAGGAGCTATGAGCCTGCCCGGCGTGGCTCAGAGGTTGAGCATCAACCTAGGAACCAGGAGGTCACGGTTCAATTCCCATCAGGGCACAGGCCTGGGCTGTAGGCTCCATCCCCAGCGTGGGGCATGCAAGAGGCAGCCCATCAATGATTCTCATCATGGATGTCCCCCTCCCCTCCCTTCCTCTCTGAAATCAATAATAAAAATATTTCTTAAAAATAATTAATAAAAAGGAGCTATGAGTATATTTCAACTGAGCCCTCGCCTGCAAAAAAGGAAAGGCCACTCATTACTGCTTCCACCAAAGGCTTGTTTCCTCCTGCGCCTCCCCAGGAGGGAATGAAACAGCGGGCTCTAAGGAAAGAAAAGGAGCAGAGAGAAAGGGACACCTGGAAGGAAGGAATAAAGTGACAAGCGATGAGAAGGGTGGTGGGTGAACGGTCTCCTGTTCCATCGCCATCCTCCTCATTCCTGGCTCCAGTGAGGGCTGGGCACCCGCTGTTCCCTGCTCTTTGGAGGAGGTGGGTGTGGGAGTGTGTGTGTGTGGGGGGAGAGTGTGTGTGTGTGTGAGTGTGTGTGACTGTGTGTGGGGTGTGTGGGGTGTGTGTGTGTGTGTGTGTGTGTGTGTGAGTGTGTGTGACTGTGTGTGGGGTGTGTGTGTGTGTGTGTGCAGGTGTTTGTGTGGGGGGTGTGGGAGTGTGTGTGGGGGTGTGGGAGTGTGTGTGTGAGAGTGTGTGTGTGAGTGTGTGTGTGTGTAGGAGTGTGTGTAGGAGTGTGTGTGTGTAGGAGTGTGTGTGTGTAGGAGTGTGTGTGGGGTGTAGGAGTGTTTGTGGGAGGTGTGTGGGAGTGTGTGTGTGTGTGTGTGTATGTGTAGGAGTGTGTGTGGGGGGGGGTGGGAGTGTGTGTGGGAGTGTGTGTGTGTGTGTGTGTGTAGGAGTGTGTGTGTGGGGGGTGTCTGGGGGGGTGGGAGTGTGGGTGTGTGGGTATATGTGTGTGTGTGGTTGTGTGTGGGGGGGGTGGGAGTGTGGGTTGTGGGTATATGTGTGTGTGGGGGGGGGGTGGGAGTGTGGGTGTGTGGGTATATGTGTGTGTGGGGGGAAGTATCATGTGTGAACCTGCATGTAGGGATGTGGAGGCTGTACATTCGTGTGGGGTTTGGAGGGTGTGTGTGTGGGTAGGTGTATGAGTGTGTGAGGGTGCAGGTGTGTGCACAGCGCTGTGTGCAGGGACGGGGTGGGGGGAGTGTGCGGGTGTGGGGTGCCGTTTGGAGGGTGTGTGTGGGTTGAGGGGTGCAGGGGAGGGTGTGGGTGTGGAGTGATGCCTGGGTGTGAGCCCGTGAGCGTGGAGGAGTGTGAGTGGCAAGGGACCTGGAGGGCGTGTGCAGCTCCTAGCACCCCCGCCTCGCCGGGTCCCACCCCAGCCTCTCCTGCCCCCATGCACCCACCTCGCCCCGCCCCGCCCCGCTCTGCCCTCCCGCTTCCCCCTCCCCCTCCCGCCCCGCCCTGTCTGCGGCGGCGGCTGCGGGAGCGGCGGTGCGGGAGGCCCGGCCTACGGCGGCGGAGGGGCGGGCGGGGCGGCGGGAGCAGCGGTGCGGGGGACCCGGGCGCGGGGACCCGGGAGGAGGATGTCCTTCAAGGTGAGCGCGGGGCGCGGGGCGCGGGGCGCGGGGCGGGGGCGCGGGGCGGGGGCGCGGGGCGCGGGGCGGGGGCGCGGGGCGGGGGCGCGGGGCGCGGGGCTGGAGGAGTGCGGGTCGGGCGGCCTCACACCCGCACCCGAGGCCCCGCAGGTGCGCCCCGCCCGGAGCCTGCGGTTTGGCGGCGGCGCTGGGCCCGCGGTCGGGTCGGGGTCGGTGCGGGGAAGGGAAGGCGGCGGCGGGGCGGTCTCCGGTGGCGGCCGCGCGGGGAGGATCCGGTCCCGCCTCCTGCGGAGGGATGGAGGACCGGAGGGACACGGGGAGGGATGGAGGACCGGAGGGATGGAAGGAGGGACGGAGGACCGGAGGGACACGGGGAGGGACTGGGTGCGGGCGGAGATGGGTCTGTGTCCTCAGGTCGCCCGCTGCCTCCCAGGCCTGGTTGGGGCCCAGGCGGGGCGCCAGCACAGAGAGCAGCTCAGAGCTCATTGAGGTCACCCTGCACCCCCACATTTCCGGGCAGCAGGGACCCTGTGAGAGGTTTAGGGGGATAATCGCTAAGATGTCTGAGCAGCTGCAATGTGCCAGCCCGGAGCCCTCCAAAGACCCAGAGAATGTATTTTCTGGTTCTTCTTTTTAAAAATTATATATTTTATTGATTTTTTTATAGAGGAAGAGAGAGGGCTAGAGAATTAGAAACATCAATGAGAGAGAATCATCCATCAGCTGCCTCCTGCAGACCCCCTACTGGGGATGTGCCACAACTAAGGTACATGTCCTTGACCGGAATGGAACCCAGGACCTTTCAGTCCGCAGGCCGATGCTCTATTCACTGAGCCACACCGGTCAGGGCTTTAAAAATAAATCAAACAAACTGAAACAAGAAAGCTAAAGCTTGGTGAGCTAGTTAATGAGCTGCTCTCAGTCTTGCAGCAGGAAGTGACCCCTGGTGTGTCCGGCTCCAGAGCCACGTGGCCACATCCTGCCGCAGCTCCTGGAGCAGAGGACCCACCGGCGAGGGTCAGGCCTCGGGAAGGTCTCTCGCTGCAGTGTGGGGAGTGGAGCTGGGAGGCCACACGGAGGATGCTGGGGTCACCTTGTCAAATGGCCGGCACTAACACACAGATGTCCAAGGTCGAAGGATGAGGGGCTTCAGAACGTTCAGTCTGCAGAACTCAGTAGCGGATGTTATTCGCAGAGTTAGGGCTGGCCGTGGAGGTAAAGATCGGACTCCACGTGGGACGGGTAAGCTTAGGGATCGAGGGGCGTTGACGCCCCTCCCGGAGGAAGCTGGGAGCCCCGAGGGCAGCGTGGGTGAGGGGGGAGGAGGCTGAGGAGGGAGCAGCGTTGGGTGGTACTGAACCGTGTGAATGAGTGGCATTACCCGGCGATCCGGGTGATGGTGGAAAGTAAGAGGGACTGAGGACGCAATCTTAAAGATCAAGACTTAAGCGTGGCCAGCTGGCGTGGCTCAGAGGTTGAGCGTCCACCTATGAACCAGGAGGTCAGGGTTCGATTCCCAGTCAGGGCACATGCCCGAGTTGTGGGCTTGATCCCCAACGTGGGGCATGCAGGAGGCCGCTGATCCATGATTCTCTGTCATCATGGATGTTTCTGTCTCTCCTCTTCCTTCCTCTCTGAAATCAATAAATATAAGTGTGCATTTAAAAAAAGAATGAGCAGCAAATGAGACGCCCATTAAGGAAACTTAGTGATGCCAGTTGGACGAAGTGTCTGAGAACATACAGAAGATGTGCCAGGACGTAAGCCACGGACCTCCAGCCGTGGAATGAACATGGAGAGGGACTCGGAGTTCAATACCACAGAGAAAGCAACCGCGCTCAGGACTGAAGAGCGGCCACCGAATTTAGGAACCAAACAGCCCGTGGTGGCCGTGATGCGAGCAGCTGGGGGAACGTGGGTTCGGGGGCCAGATGGAAACCGCGCGAAGAGGAGGGAGGAAACCACGAGTGAGGAGAACGTCCTGAAGGAACCTGCCAGACAGGGCGGCTGCAGAGGCATCAGACGTGGCTCCGGTCTGTGTGCTTGAAAGTGGCAGGCATTTGAAAGTCCTTAGGTGATGATAGATGTCTCGACGATAAAAAGACAAGCCGATTCTAAAATGGGCAGAGGGCCAAAACCGGTGTGGCTCAGTGGATAGAGCACCGGTCTGCGGACTGAAGGGTCCCAAGTTTGATTCCAGTCAAGGACATGTACATTGGTTACAGGCACATCCCCGGTAGGGGGTGTGCAGGAGGCAGCTGGTCGATGATTCTCTCTCATCGATGTTTCTAACTATCCTTCTCTTATCCTCTCTGTAAAAAATCAATAAAATATATTTAAAATGGGCAGAGGACACGAATGCAGATTTCTCCCAAGAGGATATGCAAATGGCCAATCAGCCCCCGAAAAGATGCTCAACATTGTTAGTCGTCAGGGAAACGCCAGTCATAATTACAGTGAGTCTCAGTGATGGAGCCTTGACCTATGAACCAGGAGGTTACGGTTCTATTCCCAGGGCACATACCACGTTGCGGGCTCCATCCCCCGTGTGGGGTGTGCAGGAGGCAGCGGATCGGTGATTCTCTCTCACCATTGATGTTTCTGTCTCTCCCTCTCCTTTCCTCTCTGAAATCAATACAAATATATTTTTTTTTAAATCACAGTGAGATACCCCTTCCCACCCCCTAGAACCTTGGTTGGCAAACTGTGGCTCATGAGCCACATTCGGCTCTCTGGCCCCTTGAGTGTGGCTCTTCCACAAAATACCACGGCCTGGGGGAGTCTGTTTTGAAGAAGTGGCGTAGAAGAAGTTTAAGTTTAAAGAATTCGGCTCTCAGAAGAAATGTCAATCGTCCTGTGGGTAATTGGCTCTACTGACTAATGAGTTTGCTGACCACTGCCCTAGGAGGACTAATCAACGAGGCAATGGCAGGTGTGGTTGGCAGAGGTGTGGAGAAACGGGACCCTCACACATGGCTGGTAGGAAGAGGAGATGATGCAGCCACAGTACAGTCCTTCAGAAAGTCAGACAGGGAGCTGCCACATGACCCACAATGTCAGTCCCAGATATAAGCCCAAGAGAAATGAGAACATATGTTCACACCAAAACGCACACACAAACGTTCACAGCTGTTCCTCCTAACAGCTCCACAGTGCAGACAGCCAGAGGCCCAGCAAGCAATGGGAAGTGCAATGTGTTTATTTGGTCCGCGTGGCTGCCATTCAGGGACCCCTGTAGCTCCCACGGCCGGAGGGGGGTGCCCAGCACCTTCCACGGGAGATTGGAAGCTCTCGTGTCTCTTAAGGGCACCACCCCTGCCCTGGGGCTCCCCGCGAGGGCCCAGTGTGAACTGAATCGCCTCCGGAGGCCCACCTCGCAGGGCATCGCCGGGGGGTAAGGACTTGGTGTGGGGAGGGCACACACATGCATCCACAAGATGCTCTGGCCAGACCGTGGGATCACTAACCCGTCCAAAAGACTGAGCTGCCGCCCGGCCCCAGTGGCTCTGTGGTTGAGCATCGACTGATGAGCCAGGAGGTCTCTGTGATTCCCGGTCAGGTCAGGGCACATGCACGGGTTGTGGGCTCGATTCCCAGTAGGGAGCGTGCAAGAGGCAGCCGATTAATCAGTGATTCTGATCGTTCTCATCATTGATGTTTCTGTCTCTCCCTGTCCCTTCCTCCTTCTGAAATCAATAAGAAAAGCATCAGAGTGTGCATTTCAGTGTTAGTATGGTCCCAGAGTTGTGCCACCATCAGCACAGCTAATTTTAGGATGTTTTCACCACCCCCCTAAGAAGTCGCACGCCCAGCAGTATCATCGAGGTCTTGATCTGCCATCTGGAAGATTCAGAAATTCCAGAGACGGGGCTGTGCATAAATTAAATAAGAGTCCAGGGACAAAGCATAATTTTAAAAAATATTTTATTGATTTTTTACAGAGAGGAAGAGAGAGGGATAGAGAGCTAGAAACATCGATAAGCTGCCTCTTGCACACCCCCTACTGGGGAGGTGCCCGCAACCAAGGTACATGCCCTTGATCGGAATCAAACATGGGACCCTTCAGTCTGCAGGCCGACGCTCTATCCACTGAGCCCAACTGGTTTTGGCGAAATATAATTCTGAAAGGCATATGGGAGGGAGGGGGGTAATGGAGGGCAGAGGAGCTTGGCTAAAGAAACCAAGTTCTCCTTGTCTCAGGACCTCTTGCTATTTATTAACAAAAATTGTTCTAAGGTGAGGTGGAGATATACACATCAAAGGGTAGGATTTTGTCTACAGAGTCCATTGTCAGATTGGGGAATTACCTCTGTCTGTTCAGGTGTTTGTCCAAGAGTTGGCAATAACATGTAGATTGCCCTGGGCTGTCTGGCAGCAAACAATCATCCTTTTCAGGTTTGGGGAAATGCCTTTAGCCATTTCCAACAGGCGATAACATATGTGACTCAGCCCTTGTTGAGTCCCCAAGTCCCATCCGCCTTCCGATGACACTCCTGCAGTATGAACGCTGGGACTGGCCTCCGGCCCAGCAGCAGTCACACTCCATCCCCCGAACTTCCCAGAGCAGAGTTCTGTTCCTGTGTTTCCGCGCTCTCTGGATTCGCCTGCTCTGGTCACCTACATTGTGAACAGACCAGCCATGGCCTAGAGCTCGGATTTGGAGGTGCTGGGGTGACACAGGATGCCAAGGGCAAACACCTTTTTCTCCTCCGATGTCTCCCACAAAGCGAAGCAGCGCTGAGAGCACAGGGTGCGGCTCCTTCAAAGCCTAGTGCACGTCCTGAACCCTCCGAGCACCACGTGGGATGTGCGGTGGAGCAGCCGTAACATGCGCGCCCTCCTGCGCGGGGCGCCTCCCGCGGGGCTCCTGGGCGCTCCTCGGGTGCTGGTTTGAGGTGGCCTCCGTCACACATGGGGGAACGGAGCTCATGGCCTCTTGGTCGACTTAACGGGGTACAACTGAAACCCCCTTTTCAAGCCCGGAGCTTCGATCTCTTGGCTTTTCATCGGAATTCCAGTTCTGCCCAAAAACCATTATTCTCCCCCTCTCTCCCCAGCTCCTCCCCAGCCCCCGTTTCCTCTCCCTTCCTTCCTGTGCTAGTTCCTGAAGGTGCCCTCATGAGCTAAATCCCGGCAGTAAACGGGAGGAAGGGACGAGAACACCGCACCCTGAGGTCTGGGTTCAGCCCTCCTCACGGGGTAGTAAGATCGGAGACCCCGGACTCTGGACTCAGGCAGACGTGGGTTCGAACCCTCTTCTTCCGAGCTGTCTGACCTCAGTCATCACCGTGGGCTCAGTCATCACTGAGTTTAGGAACGGCATGTGCTCGATGGGGCTGTTCTGGGACGAGATGCATCTGAGGGCGCAGAGAGGGTTTAGGGTGCCTGTGAGGCAGCAGAATCGCCGGCCCCGCCCCGTCCTGTGTGCCTGTGGAGTCCCGGCTCACCCTCCGGGCGTCGAGCCTCCAGGATCGATCCTGCGATCACAGGGTGTTGTTTGGTGGCTTACGGTCCACGCACACCAGCCTCGCTCCCGCTGCACCGGCTCACAGCAGCTCTAATGAGACCGGCCTGGGGCAGCGCCACGGCCCTGGGCGTGGACACCTCCCTGGCCCTGGGTGTGGACCTACCGGCCCTGGGCGTGGACCTCCCGGCCCTGGGCGTGGACACCTCCCTGGCCCTGGGCGTGGACACCTCCCGGCCCTGGGTGTGGACCTCCCGGCCCTGGGTGTGGACCTCCCTGGCCCTGGGCGTGGACACCTCCCGGCCCTGGGCGTGGACACCTCCCGGCCCTGGGCGTGGACCTCCCGGCCCTGGGTGTGGACACCTCCCGGCCCTGGGCGTGGACACCTCCCGGCCCTGGGCGTGGACCTCCCGGCCCTGGGCGTGGACATCACCCCGGCCGTGGGCGTGGACATCACCCCGGCCCTGGGCGTGGACCTCCCGGCCCTGGGTGTGGACATCACCCCGGCCCTGGGCGTGGACACCTCCCGGTCCTGGGCGTGGTCACCTCCCTGGCCCTGGGTGTGGACCTCCCGGCCCTGTGCGTGGACACCTCCCTGGCCCTGGGTGTGGACCTCCCGGCCCTGGGTGTGGACATCACCCCGGCCCTGGGCGTGGACACCTCCTGGCCCTGGGCGTGGACCTCCCGGCCCTGGGCGTGGACACCTCCCGGCCCTGGGCGTGGACACCTCCCGGCCCTGGGCGTGGACCTCCCGGCCCTGGGTGTGGACCTCCCGGCCCTGTGCGTGGACACCTCCCTGGCCCTGGGTGTGGACCTCCCGGCCCTGGGCGTGGACACCTCCCGGCCCTGGGCGTGGACCTCCCGGCCCTGGGTGTGGACACCTCCCGGTGTCCTCGCAGACGCCTGGGCCTCACAGGGCGCCCCCGGGGGAAGGAATTGCTCACCTGGAATCTGAGGTGAGTCTTTCCTCCTCCGGAGCCTGGAAGCTATTCCGAGTATGTTTGCAATCCGCTTATCGCCCCGCTCTGCCTGCTCTCCTCCGAGAATGCAGAGAGCGCTCAGCGGTGTCTGCGGAAGGTGCTGGAAAGAGGCCCTCACGCCGCTCTGTGGCTGTGCTCTCCTCCGCCGGCCCCACGCGTGGCTGCGTGGCTGTGGCTTCTCTCTGACCCGGCGGAGCTGCCTGAGGTGTTGTGCTGAGAGCCTTCTCCATCGGCTTCACAGTCATCGCACCCGAGGCCGGAGGGGCCGGTGGGTGTGGGAAGTCCACCCAGAACCGTCCTCGGGTAAACGGTGTGAAGAAGAGACATGGTCCTGAGATCAGCAAATTCTTTATTTAGAACCCGTACCCCTACCAGCTCTCTGGGTGTAAGTTGCCTGTTGATTCTTAAAGAGAGCGGGAGAGACGTCGGCTGGCATGGCTCCGTGGTTGAGCGTCGACCTATGAACAGGGGGTCACCATTCCATTCCCGTCAGGGCACAGGCCCGGTTTGTGGGCTCGATGCCCAGTGGGGGGCGAGCAGGAGGCAGCTGGTCAATGATTCCTCTCATCATGGATTTTCTATCTCTCTCTCCCCTCCTCTCTGACGTCAATAAAAATATACTGCCCTAACCTGTTTGGCTCAGTGGATGGAGTGTTGGCCTGCGGACTGAAGGGTCCCAGGTTCGATTCCGGTCAAGGGGATGTGCAGGAGGCAACTGATGGATGTTTCTCTTTCATCGATGTTTCTAACTCTCTATCCCTCTCTCTTCCACTCTGTAAAAAAATCAATAAAATATTTAAATATATATATATATATATATATATATATATATATATATATATATATATACACATACATACCAGTGTGTGTGTGTGTGTGTGTGTGTGTGTGTGTGTGTATACTGGGCGGGGAGGGGGAACGGGAGCGAGGGAAGGAAACGAGACTCTAGGTGTTTCTGATGTGTGGGCCCGAAGTGACAGCACCGTTCACACTGCAGGGCCGGCCTCGTGGCTCCGTCTGAGCTAGAGGGACCGAGCCCCATCAGGCCACCCGTGTCCCAGTGCAGGACTGGGCTTGAGGCCCATGGGAGTCGGTCCCCTGCCCTCCCTCCAGCTGTCCACCTCCACACACACACCCTCTCTCCAAACCCATGTTTCTGGTTTGGAGGAGGCGGCTGTACGGCAGCCAGCTCCGCCCTCCCGCTGGGGGACTGGTCTCCGGATCTCTTCCTCCCAGAGGCCCGGTGCCAGCATTAACTTTGCAACTTTATCATTTATTTACTTATTTAATATATTTTTTATTGATTTCAGAGAGGAAGGAGGAGGGTGAGAGAGATAGAAACATCTGTGAGAGAGAATCATGGACCGGCTGCCTCCTGTACCCCCCCATCACCCTCCTGGGGATCAAGCCTGCAACCAGGCATGTGCCCTGACCGGGCATCGAACCCTGACCTCCTCGGTTCAGAGGTTGACACTCACCACTGGGCCATGCTGGCCGGGCAACTTTAAAACAGCGCAGCATGAGGGACCCACGAGGACCGAGCGGAGGTTTCCGCCCAGAGCTCCTGGATCTCCCGGCGAAAGCCAGGAGCATCGGGTGGCGAGAAAGCGCGGCTCCGCCCGGCTGCCGGGGCGGGCAGGCCCTCAGGAGGCCGGGGCAGGCAGGACCGGGGAACACAGGCCCCCAGGAGGCCAGGCGGGCAGGACTGGGGAGCACAGGACCGGGAGCACAGGACCGGGGAGCACAGGCCCCCGGGAGGCCGGGCGGGCAGGACCGGGAAGCACAGGCCCTCGGGAGGCTGGGCGGGCAGGACTGGGGAGCACAGGCCCCCGGGAGGCCGGGCAGGCAGGAGCACAGGCCCTTGGGAGGCCGGGACGGGCGTGGTTTTCTGAGCCCAGGGGTGAAGAGAGGTTTGGGAGCGTTTCCTGGAGGAAACGGCATTTCAAGAGCTTTGGCCGTCAGGATGGGGCAGAGCTCACTTCAGGCAAAAAGGAAGCGCGAACAAAGGCCCCGGCAGGAAGGCCAGGCCTCGGTGGGACACGGTGTTAATAGTGCCGTGTGATCAACAACCCGCCTCCTCACAGCCCCGGCCCACAGCGTTCCAGGAGGAGTCAGGAGCCGGGTTCCAGCCGGCCGGCATGGCCCAGTGGTGAGCGCTGACCTCTGAACCAGGAGGTCAGGGTTCGATTCCTGGTCAGGGCACATGCCGGGTTGCAGGCTTGATCCCCAGTGTGAGGCGTGCAGGAGGCAGCAGATCGATTCTCTCTCATCATTGATGTCTCTCTTCCTCTCTCCTTCTCCCTTCCTCTCAGAAATTAATCCTCTCTATTAAAGAGGGAATATGCTAATTGACCATCACTCCATCACAAAGATGGCTGCACCCACAGCTGAGGCCAAGTTCCCATAAGGAGCCTTAATGAGCAATCAGCAGGGACCTGAGGCTACGCCCTCCCCCGCCCCGTGAGGCTTGACAGGAGACCTCAGACCACACCCCCTGTCCTGGCATCAGGCTAGGGGCCTCAGGCTGCACCCCCTGCACCAGTGCCCTGCCAGGGGACCTGAGGCCACGCCCCCACCCAGCGGGGCTTGATGGCGGACCTCAAGGCACGCCCATTGCCCCTGTCTGGGCTGGGGGACCTCAGGCCATGCCCCTGTCCTGGTGCCGGACCAGGGGACTTGAGGCTATACCCCGTGCCCGGCAGGGCTTGACAGGATGGGACTGGCCGGGTCTGGGTCTAGCCCAATGGGAGGGGCGGCCGGGTCTGGGTCTCACGTGATTTTGAGGTGTATGTGGGTGGGCGGGCACTTGACTCTTGGTTCCATGGTGTGCCCCAGACTCTGACAGGAGGAAGGTTTTCATACACATTTACTAGTTTTCCTTCATCTCAGACACTTCTATTACAGAGAAAGGGCAAATAGCAATACTGTTACTTTCTCTAATTAATCTCCTTTTAATGTGCAGGAATTTCGTGCACCGGGTCGCTAGTAAGAACGTATTTACAAAATGAAGCAGAGTATTCGGTCACCAGTGTATCAGCACGCGGGCTGGGACACGCCTGTGGAGGGCGTGTGCTGGCGGCGTGTCCCGTGGCCGGTGCTGACTGCGATCCTGTCTCGTTCGGTTCTGCAGAAGGAGACGCCGCTCGCCAATGCTGCATTCTGGGCCGCGAGGAGGGGGAACCTGGCGCTGCTCCGGCTGCTGCTCACCAGCGGGCGTGTGGACGTGGACTGCAGGGACAGTGTACGCAGCCCGCCCAGTGCACCGTGCCGGGCCCACGCCAGGCCCGTGGGCAGGAGCCCCCTCCAACACGTCCCCTCCCGGGCTTGGCTGCTCTCTCACGCGTGTGCTCGCTTTGTCCGTGTCCAAAGCGTGCGGGGCGGGGGGTGGGGAGCCCGGGGACCAGCGTAGAGTTGCCCCGAGCAGGTATCCGGCTCAGAGCAGAGGCCCCGAGGGGAGGCACTTCCGGAGTTGGAATGAGCCGATCCAGGCAGAGACCAGCGCAGTCAGAATTCAAACCAGCTGCTCCCGGGCTGCCGTAGGCTGGGAGTCAGGTTTTTCCTAGGAGAGAGAGAGAGAGAGAGAGAGAGAGAGAGAGAGAGAGAGAGAGAGAGAGAGAGAGGAAGAGAGAGGAAGAGAGAGGGAGAGAGAGAGTGGGAGAGAGAGAGGGAGAGAGAGAGAAGAGAGAGGGAGGGAGAGAGGGAGAGAAGGGAGAGAGAGAGAGGGAGAGAAGGGAGAGAGGAAGGAAGGGAGAGGGATAGAGGGAGGGAGAGAGAGAAGAAAGAGAGAGGGAGAGAGAGTGGGAGAGAGAGAGGGAGAGAGAGAGAAGAGAGAGGGAGGAAGGGAGGGAAGGAGAGAGAGAAGGGGAGGGAGGGAGAGAGGGAGAAAGAGGGAGAGAGGGATAGAGGGAGAGAGAGGGAGGGAGGGAGAGAGGAGAGAGAGAGAGAGAGAGAGAGAGAGAGAGAGAGAGAGAGAGAGAGAGGAGAATGGAGCTCCCTGGCCCCCATCCTCTCATTACCTTTGCAAATGCCAACACACTACACTAATTGGCAATTAAAGGGACTAAGATCAGACACTGCCCTGGCAGCATCCCAGCCGACCCTCCCTGCCCAGAGGGCTTCGCGTCTGGGGCGAGCAGGACCTAAATGAGAGAGAGACACACGGGTGGGGGTGGGGGCGTCCAGAGAGCAGAGATGTTTTTATTTTAGGGCTTAAATAAAAGTGTTTTTCAGAGGAGCCTTGTTTTCCTGAAAACAGGATGTGCCGTTTCCAGCTTTTGTGGCACACGTGGGCATGGAGGTCGGCCCAGCACCAGGGAGAGCGTGCGGGCTCCGTGCCCTCAGGGCCTCCGTAGGGGGGAGTCTGGGGTTCGCACTGCAGCTCCGCCCACATGGCCTACCCGGTGCCCAGCCCTGAGCTTCCCTCTGCTTCCCGCTGGGTGTGGCCACAGGAGCATTGGCAGGCATCGAGGGGGGACAGGGATGTGGGGGAGCCCAGGGCTCCCCCTCACTGCTCCGTCTGGCAGCAGCAGTGGTGGGGGGGGGGTGCCTCGTGCCTTCAGCCCCAGTCCCATCCCCTCCCCCCCCCCGCCCCCGCCCCGGGCACAGCCTTGCAGATGGTTTTATGAAACTTCCCTCCTTTGTCCCAGTTGGAGTGGACCCTCTGTTCCCGGCCAGGCCGAGGCAGTGGTTCAGGCCACTATTCAGCCCTTGGAAAAAACCCGGATTCAGTTACAGAAGTCTCATTGGATGGGAGGGTCTGCATCAGATACCCCTCCGGGCCCGAACCCGGGAGCCACCCGTCATGCCCGGCTCACACGTGGCAAAGACGAGGCGAAAGCCCGCAACACGGGCGCCTGCCCCTCACACGGGGGCTCAGGACAAAGGTCGGCTTGGACCCGGCTCCTGACTCCTCCTCCCTGAGCGGCGGCTCTCGGCCTTCCTGACGCCGCGGCCCTTCAGCACAGCTGCTCCTGGTGGGGTGACCCCAGCCATACGTTATTCTCGTTGCTACGTCATAACTAATTTTGCTCCTGTTATGGATCGTGATGTAATCATCTGTGTTTTCCCATGGTCTTAGGGGACCCTGCTAGCAGTCCTCAACCTTTGGGTAAAACCCTGATATTAACATTACGATTCATAACAGGAGCAACGAAAGTAATGTCGTGGTTGGGGGTGACCACAGCATGAGGAGCCGTGTTAAAGGGCTGAGAGCCGCTGCTCTGAAGACTCGTCTCATCGCCGTGCCCGTCCTCTCCCCTAACCCGAGAAGACAGACTGAGCCCAGGAAACCAGCGGCACCTTGAACAGCAGAGCTGGGCTGAGGATCTTTATTACGGACCTAACCTGAGGTCCTCGCTTCGCTGCTGCCTCCAGGCGCAGGGACCCTGCCCGCTGGGACTGTGTTTCTGAAGGAAATGGCCGGAGCCGGTTTTTAAACTGCAAACCAGCCTCCCAGTTGCTTTCCCCACGGAGTCTGACTCAGAGCCAGGCCGGCACGGCCGGACGGGCGCTCGGAGGGGCCTGGTGGGGCTGGATCCGGGCCCCTCGCCGGCCCTCCCTCAAACACAGGACGGCCCCGGCTCACTCTCTGTCTCCCCTCCTCCAGGGCGGCACCTCGCTCCTCATGGTCGCCTCCTACGCCGGCCACATCGATTGCGTGCGGGAGCTGGTGCTCCAGGGCGCCGACATCAACCTCCAGAGAGAGGTAGGTCAGGGTGAAACGACACCCGGCCGGTGTGGCTCAGTGGATAGCGCGTCGGCCTGCGGACTGAAAGGTCCCAGGTTCGATTCCCGTCAAGGGCATGTACCTTGGTGGTGGGCACATCCCCAGTAGGGGGTGTGCAGGAGGCAGCGGGTCGATGTTTCTCTCTCATGGATGTTTCTAGCTCTCTGTCCCTCTCCCTTCCTCTCTGTAAAGAGTCAATAAGACACGTTTTTCACGAAATAAAACGATGAAACCAGCCCCTCTCCCCAGTCAGGCACCACTGCCCTGTTCTTCGCCGCCCAGCAGGGCCACAGCGACGTCGTGCGGCTCCTCTTCCAGTTCGGTGCGTCCACGGAATTCCGGACCAGAGTAAGTGAGCCCGCGCCCCTCGCCGGAGCACGGCCCTGGAGCACCATGCCTCTCCCGCCACAGGCTGCCTGCCTTCTCAGGGGCGGGGGCGCGGGCGGGGGAAACACGCTGTCCCCTCGGGCTCACAGGCGGGGCTGGTGAGGAGCTCAGACTCTCTGCTCCGGACCGAGCTCGTGCCCCAGGACGGGCGCGGCGGCCAGTGCTCCCGCCTCCCTGTGTGCACGGGTGGTTTCTGCCTCCAGGCGAACCCCAGGCTGTGCTGGGAGAGCCGTCCGATCCCCTGAGACACCCACGCTGAGGTGATCTGCCATAGAGCACTGTTCTCAGCCTTCCTAATGCTGCGACCCTTTATTTATTTTATTTTTTTAAATATATTTTATTTATTTTTTACAGAGAGGAAGAGAGAGGGATAGAGAGCTAGAAACATTGATGAGAGAGAATCATCGATTGGCTGCCTCCTGCACACCCCACAATGGGGATGTGCCCACAACCAATGTACATGCCCTTGACCGGAATCGAACCTGGGACCTTTCAGTCTGCAGGCCGAGGCTCTATCCACTGAGCCACACCGGTTTCGGCAATGCCACGGCCCTTTAATACAGTTCCTCATGTGGTCATGACCCCCACCCATAACATTATTTTCATTGCTACTTCATAACTGTCCTTTTGCTCCTGTTATGAATTGTAACGTAAATATCTGTGTTTTCCGACGGTCTCAGGCTCTACAGCAGTGGCTCTCAATCTGTGGGTCGCCCAAGACCATCTCGATGGCAGGTTCCCCGGCCCTGGTCGGGGTGTGTGTAGGGGGCAACCCATCGGTGTGTCTCCCTCACAGTCTCTCCACCTCCCTTCCTTGCTCTCTAAAAACCAATGGGAAAATACGCTTGGGTGGGGATTAACCAAAAATAAAAAGGAACGAGGAGGGGCCAGCAAGGAAAGGTGAGCTGGGTGTCACTGTGGAAAGTTATCCTCCAGAGTTCTCGCCTAACGGGAACAGCGTTGGGTGTGCGTGGGCCCGAGCCGTTTCTAAAGCGTGAGCTTTGTGTGCCCGCAGGACGGGGGCACGGCCCTATTGGCCGCCAGCCAGTACGGGCACCGGCAGGTGGTGGACACCCTCCTGAAGCACGGCGCCAACATCCACGACCAGCTCTACGTGAGTGTCCCCGGGCCCCCCTCACCCTCATCCCCCCGCCTCCCTCACCCCTGTCCCCTGGCCTTCCTCACCCTTGGCTCCCCCTACCCCCCCCCCCCCCCCCCCCGCGCCTCGCTCACCCCCGTCCCTGGCCCTCCCTCACCCTCATCCCCCGGCCCTCCCAGCCCGAGAGGGCAGCTCCAGGGGCAGGTCCATGAGCAATGGGACTTTGAGACAGAAGGAATGAAACACATGTTTACCCGATGACCATTTCTGCACAGAAGCCACGCAATCATATTCACCCCTTTGTTTTGCCCTTTTAAACCTCTTACACATGAAGGATCTCCTGTCCCTGTGCTGTTAGGATCTTCAAAAATCATGGGATCCATACTCATTGCAACCTGACAAGCCCAGCCTGTGGACTTGCCGGAAACAAAAATACATTCTGTGGTGGGTTTATTCGGGAAGAAGAGCACACAGAAAGGAGAAGTCAGGTTATTGGGCCCTGCCGATGTGGCTCAGTAGTTGAGCATTAACCTAAGAACCAGGAGGTCATGGTTCAAGGTCATGGTTCGATTCCTGGTCCGGACACGTGCTTGGATTTCAGGCTGGATCCCCAGTATTGGGTGAGCAGGAGGCAGCCGATTGGTGATTCTGTCATCATTGATGCTTCTCTCTTTCTTTCTCCTGCTCCCTCCCTCTCTGCAGTCAATAAAATACATTTTTTAAAAAAAAGAAACCAGGTTATTGGGGAAAGGTGAGGCCGGTGGATGGAGACCTGGCCCTTTGGAAGGCAGCCACGGCCATGCTGGCCTGCTGGTGGCGATCGGCGGTTCACATGCCTCCAAGCACTCTTCGTTGGTGGTCACTGTGATCCCACGGGGTTTGTGGCAAATGCGATCTCAGTTTTGTAGGAAAAAGTAAGGCGGGGAGAAGGCGTGGCTGAGGATGGCCCTGAGGAGTGAAGCATCTAGGACACATTCCTGGCCCTCCTCCCCCAGACACCTGGCCCTCACTCGGGGCACCGTGTGCTCTCACACGTGTGTAATGAGTGTGTGGGTGTGAGCTTTTCCACTGGGACACCCTTCCGGCGTTGGCACGGTTAGCTCCGCACCGCGGCGTGGCTGGGCTGGAGGGAGGGAGGGTGCTCTGTGTTTGCACCTGTGGCTGGTGCCCTGCGGGAGGGGGAATGAGCCGGTGAGCCAGGTGTTTCCACTCGGGATAGAGGTAACCAACGGCCTGGCCGGCGTGGCTCGGTGACTGAGTGACCTACCCTGTTTCCCTGAAAATAAGACAGTGTCATATATTAATTTTTGCTCCCAAAGATGCGCTAGGTCTTATTTTCAGGGGATGTCTTATTTTTCCATGAAGAAAAATATGGTACACATTTATTGTTAAATGAAAATAAAGGACATTTATTACCTGTATACGGTACGGTAGTACGGTCGTTGTCAACACAAACCAGACAAACTGTGACTCCTACAGTATCAAGAATTGACTCATTTATTCAATGACAATCATGTCATCATCTTCTGGAACATCATCATAACAATCCAATTCCTGAATTTCCTGGTGAATTACTTGTGACTCCATTTCTTTCAGAATCAGTGGACCAAATCTCTCATGTTTAACAATAGCACTGTCTTTAAATGAGTACTTCTTGTCAAGGTAGCCTGCTCACAGTGCATTTGCAATGCAACTGTCAGTGATTTTCTCCCATGAATTCTTCACCCAAGTCACAGCTTCTTGCAGTTTAGGTTTCACAAAGTTTCCACGCTGATTTCTCTCCATTCTATTTTCAATGTAGTCATTCATTTCCATGCACAAATTGTCTTTGAATGGCTTGTTTATTGCAATATCAAGAGTCTGAAAATAGGCCTTATTTTCGGGGGGATGCCTTATATTTCATCAGAAGGAAACCTGTAAGTAGGTCTTATTTTCGGAGGATGTCTTATTTTCGGGGAAACATGGTATGAACCAGTGTGTGATTCGTAGTTGGGGCTCCTGCCCGGGTTGTGGGCTCCATCCCCAGTAGGGGGCGTGCAGGAGGCAGCCGGTTCATGATTCTGCCATCATGGATGTTTCTATCTCCCTCTCCCTACCTCTCTAAAATCAATAAAAATACATTTTAAAATAAATGAAGTAAAACGTGGGTGGTCTCAGATCACGCCACAAACACAGAGCAGCCAGTGAGGTCTGGGGACGAGAAGAGTGTGTCCGGGAGACCTGGCCGCCGCCAGGCTCATGGTGTCAGCAGCTCTGGTCTTGAGACCGTGTGCAGTTGGAGGTTGCAGACATCATCCCTCCCCCGGAAGCTCTGTCTTGACCTTTGCCTTTTTGTGCGACTCCGTGTGACCTCTCAGAACCCTTCTCCAAAGATAATGCGCTAACTGTGTGTGTGTACCACGGGGTGGAAGGGGAAACCTGTATTAAGTGCATGAGTGTCAAAGGTGATTTCTTTCCAAGTAAACATGGAGGTGCCCTCTGACCCTCCCCCTTGCTGCCCGCAGGACGGAGCCACTGCCCTCTTCCTGGCTGCCCAGGGCGGCTACCTGGATGTCACTCGGCTGCTGCTGTCGTCCGGAGCGAGAGTCAACCAGCCGAGGCAGGTAATGTTGGGGTGCTGGGGCCGGGCCGGGGGCAGCTCTTGGCAGGTGTCCCCGAGAGGCCCGTCACCTCTGGGCGCCTTCACACCCGGGCTTCCGTGGCACCGCCCGCCTGTGGTCAGGGTTCCTCCCGTTCTCTGCTCTGGGCTCACCCGGAGCCAGGCCGATGTCACCACGGACGTGTTCACACGTGGTTGTGGGTGTCTGAGGTCCGGTGCACAGTCTGCCGCCTCCTCTCCAGGTTAAGGCGGCTCCGAGGGCGTGCAGTGAGCGAGGGCTGCCCGGCGCAGGTGGACGGGGGCTCAGGTGGCTGGTACCCACCCAGGCCCTCCCCAGGTGCTGTCTTCTCTCCCCCTCCTTCACTGCCTTTGCCAACCACAGGGGGCCCAGTGCAGTTCCCGACGAGTCCTGCACCTGCACCTCCATCCCTCACAATCCCAACGCTATTGAGACTTCTTTCGTCAACAGCCGGTAAATCAGCTACGTGATACGTAAAGGAACAGAACTGCCAGGCAACGCAGGTCGCTCTCCGAGTGTGGCGGACCGTCCACAGTGAGGCATTGCGATCAGCTGCTCTCACAGGGGAACTCCCCCCTCACTGATGAACTTGTTTTTAACAAAACACTTCTGGGTGCGGTGCCGTGACTTTAACTGTAGTTTTAGGGGAAAGTCAAGCTGGTTTCTTCTCAGATGGGGTCGCGCTGCGCTCCCCATCGCAGTGAGACCTGCTAGTCCGTGAGGAAGAGCGAGGGGAGCCCTCAGGCCTTCAGGTGCCTCCGGCTTCTTCGGTCCAGAGGAGCCAGGTGCCTCCAGAGCCCGAGAAAAGAAAGGCTTTGGACAAAGTGGGTCTGAGGTCAGGAATCCTGAGTTCCAGACCTGGCCCTGCAGTCACTGCCTGAGTGGTTTGCACACATGAGCCGGCCTCTACGACCTCTTGTCCCTCACGAAATGTAGGGGGCGGGGTGGGATCCTGACGAGCTCTCCACACACTCCACCTTTTTATTTAATTTTTAAAAGTTGGCTTGAGGGGCGGGGAGGGAAATATCAATGTGATAGAGAAATATCAGTTGGTTGCCTCTTGCACATCCCCCGAGTGGGGATCAAACCCACAACCTGGGTCCATTTCCTAACTGGGAATTGAACCAACTGAGCCACACTGGCCAGGGCACAAGCTCTCGGTGTTTTGTGGCTGTCTTATTCCATGGACAGTCAGTATTTCGTGAGAACTTAACAAGTGCCAGACCTTGCTATAAACGTGAGGTTGTATTTTCAGCATCTTAAAGATATTCTTAGCTCCGATGGCCTCAGGAATATTTCCGGGGAAGGACACTTTTAGAAAAAGTTGCTCTTCCGTTCCTGTCAGAATTGACATTTGGGGATCAGAGTTTAATGTTTTCTTGTTGGTCCTTCCTACTTTGAAATTGTTGCTTGATTCTGAATGAGAGGCCTAATTTTACGAAATAAAAAAAGACTGGCTGTTTTCAGACGGCATAGGTTAGGAGGTCACTATGGAGGAGGCCCCTGTGAATTTAGAAATGAGAGATGGTCAAGTCTCCCTCTGAACCTCCTTCTAAAATAATTTCTGGTGTTTTGAGAAACCTATTTGTAAAGTAAATCATATTATTCATTCGCCTAAGTCACCGTCTGTAAAAAGCCACATTGGTGTACGGTTATACTTCACGTGCTGCATGGATTGTCCTGTGCCGATGACACGGAACCGGGAGTTCTGAGGGACCCACGTGGCTGTGGCAGCCAGGGCACCCCAGAGGGGAGGTGACCGGTTCAGTGGACGGCCTCGTTTAAGAGGGGACGGCTGGGGTCCAGGGGCAAGCCACTGCCCTTTCCAGGATTGTGTCCGATGTGACTGGAGTTGTGAGTCCTGCTCCGAAAGGAACCGGTGTTTATAGCACAGGAATTGCTTTGGGGGGACAGAATCTTTCCTTTTCCTGGGACACTCACCCCAGGATGCCCTCTGTGCCCCACAGGTAACCGCTGTACCTGTTCATACCGGCCGAGAGCTTATAAAAAAAGGCCGTCTGGCCGGGTCGGACTGGCCCCGTCCTGTCTATCCCCCAGGAAGGTCTGTGAGGCTCTCAGTTTCGTAGGCCGACACCGAGGCCTTGGCCAGGAAGGGTGGCCTCCCCCTGTGGCTGTTGCCTGTGGAGACAGCTGCTGGCGTTGCTGTGTGATGTTCCCAGTTATTCCCAGCAGGGCAGCTCTCTGCACCTCTCTTCTGTGAGCGTCAGTGCCAATTAATAGCCTTTTACTGAAAAGCCCTTGGAAAGCACCCAGGCCTCATAGCCTTTCCTTGGCTGCCCCCTGGTGGCGACATCCGCAAAGAGCAGGGAGCCACAGCGGATGGGGAGGGAGAAGGCACCACAGGTGAGGCTGGAAACCCTCCCTGGAGCCCAGACACCTGCTCCACCTCCCAGCCCGGCACACGTCCCTCGGGCCCCGCCCACCCCGTCGGGTGCCGCCCACTCCCCGGACCCCCGCCCACAATCGTTGGACCACACCCACATCCCTCAGGGGCCGCCCACGCCCCTCAGTCCCGCCCCTCAGGCCCCACCACACCTCAGCCCCGCTCACACCCATGCCCCTTGGGCCACACCACAAGCCTCGGACCCCTCCCACTCCCCTTGGACCACACCCACTCCCCTCAGCTCCGCCCACACCCCTGGGCCCCCGCCCACGCCCTCAGGCCCTGCCCACACCCACTCCCCTGGGCCACACCACATCCCCTGGGCCACACCACACTCTTCGGACTACACCCGCGCCCTATGGGCCTTGCCATCTGGACTGCCCACTTGCCTGAGGCCGCCACTCCTGCCCAGGCCACTGGGACCGGAAATGTTCCGTCCACATGGGTTCCCTTGTCCCCTCACCTGGCAAAACCCTAGTCCCGCCGGGACGGGTTTGGCTCAATGGATAGAGCGTCGGCTTGGGGACTGAAAGGTCCCAGGTTCGATTCCGGGCAAGGGCATGTACCTTGGTTGCGGGCATATCCCCAGTAGGAGGTGTGCAAGAGGCAGCTGATCGATGACTCTCTCTCATCGATGTTTCTGACTCTATCTCTCTCCCTTCCTCTCTGTACAAAATCAATAAAATATATTAAAAAAAAAAAAAAAAAAAAAAAAAAACCCTAGTCCCCCTCCAAGACCCAGCTCAGACACCAGCGCCCCCGGCTGGAAGCTGACCGGTAAGCCGCACCAGGAGAGGCCCTCTCAGGTCCATGGGGCTAGTGTCTGCTCCACTGGAGCCCTGAGGCCAGGCTCCGATCCATCGCCTCTGCACTGGCTCGGCCCCTTCCAGAGCAGCGGTCACGTCTTATTTTTAATGTTTTAAGGACTTCGGTGAGGAAGGGAGCAGGAGAGGCATCCGTGATGGGAGAGAGCCATGGGTCGCTGCTTCCTGCATAGCCCATGCCTGTACCTGACCGGAATCCTGGTTCATAGGTCCCTCCGAGGGGCAGTCGTGTGTTGTTTTTAGCTCAGGCTGCCGGGACTCGGAAGGTATGTAGAACTGCAGGGGTTGGATGAGTGAGTGAACGATGCTCCTGAGCTGGGGGGTCCGTTAAATAACGGGTGAGACGTACTCGGTAACAAAGTGCCGATGAGGGTGTGTTGGCATTGCTAACGGTGCTCAGCCCTCAGGTTGGGGGGTGGAGAGGGCAGGTGTTTCAGATCCTTCCACACCTCAGTCCTCTTCCCCTCGTCTCTGCAAGACACAGAGGAGCTGGGTCCTCTGGGCTCCAACGCCGCTGCCCCGACCCTTTGCCGGCAGCAGCGAGCAGAGTGGAGTGGCGTCCCTCCTCCGTGTGTCCCGGCTCTCAGCCCACTCCCCACCGAGGAGGAACTCAGTCTTATCTGACAGCAGCCTCCTTCGGCCACGTTATCTCACCTGCCTCAGGGTGGCAGTCCTGGGTCCCCCCCCCTCCTCTGCGCTTCTCTCCAAAGCGACTTCCTTCCCCGGGCTCAGCCGTCCCCTGGCATGGAGGGGTGTCTTCTCCCTGTGCCACTGGGCCAGCCTGCCGGTCCCAGAGTACCCGGCCCGGTGACCGAGACGGCGCTGGCTCCCCACCTGCCAGCCCTGCCGGCCTCTGCTGGTGACATCACGATGCGTGTGGCTGCCGTGTGGACGCTGTGTGGACGCCATGTGGAGGCCACGTGACTGCAGTGTGGCTGCCGTGTGGCTGCCGTGTGGACGCCATGTGGAGGCCACGTGACTGCAGTGTGGCTGCCGTGTAAACACTGTGTGGTTGGTGTGTGGCTGCCGTGTGGACGCCGTGTGGCTGCCGTGTGGACGCCATGTGGAGGCCACGTGACTGCAGTGTGGCTGCCGTGTAAACACTGTGTGGTTGGTGTGCGGCTGCCGTGTGGACGCCGTGTGGACCTCTCCTTCAGGATGGGACAGCTCCACTGTGGATCGCGTCGCAGATGGGCCACAGTGAGGTGGTGAGGGTGATGCTGCTGCGGGGAGCCGAGCGCGACGCCGAACGGGACGTGAGTCTGGGTGGCAGCTGCCAGCGCGGCCCGGGAGACGCACGCTACGGGGCCGGGGCCGGGAGACCCACGCTACGGGCCCGGGGCCGGGAGACGCACGCTACGGGCCCGGGGCCGGGAGACGCACGCTACGGGCCCGGGGCCGGGGGCAGTGATGCATGCACGGGGGCCGGGGCGGGGGGGGGGGGCAAGGGGGTGAGACCTGGGGAAATGCACGCCGAGGCCCCAGCCTGGCAGCCTAGACGGACAGCGGCTGTGCTGGGTCTGCACCAGCTGGGCGTTCTCTGCGCCTCCACCTGCTCTTTAGCTGGAAACTAACAGTGATGCTTAGGCCACTCGGCTCTGCAGAAAACAAAACAAGCTGTGTGATTCCTCCGGGATGCTTCCCGCCCTGCGCAGACTCTGGACAGGGTGGGAGGGGGGAGATGGGAGCCTGGGCCCGGGCTCCTGGGGGTGTGTCCCTGGCGGCTGCTTTTCCAGGGGGGACACTGCGCCTCCGGCTGGCACTTGCGGAAGGGCAGCTGGCCCGGCTGGGTGCCTGTGGTTTGGGGTCCCTCAGGGCTGACCCCGCCCCTCGCTCCGCTCCCAGCCACAGAGCCCTGTGTCCCCGGCTCCCAGCAGGCCTCTCCCATAGGAACCGAGGCGGCTTGCTGCTCACTTTTTCTTGTTCCAGTGTCTGGCCTCCGTGCCCTCGGCAGGCTCCTGCTTCTGGGACCCCCTCTTTCCCAGTCAGACCCCAGAAAGAGGAATCGGAGGGGCACTCCTGGCCCCTTCACTTCCCCTCTCCCCCTCTTCTCTCCCCACGACTCAGAAGCCAGAAGGAAAACCCTTTCCTCCCGGCTCCGGCTCAGCCGTGGGCGCTGGTGGACGGCTGTTCCTCTCCTCGGGAGGAAGCCCTCCCCGTGCCACCACGGATTCGCTGAGGTGGGAGGAAATGAACGGGAAAGCTCTTCGCGGCCAATGAGTGACGACAGGAGCAGATGTTAACTTTCAACTTGTCTTTGCGTTGTTTTTTTTTTTTTTTTTTTTTTTTTTTTAATATATTTTATTGATTGTTTACAGAGAGGAAGGGAGAGGGATAGTTAGAAGCATCTATCAGCTGCCTCCTGCACACCTCCCACTGGGGATGTGCCAGCAACCAAGGTACATGCCCTTGACTGGAATCAAACCTGGGACCCTTGAGTCCACAGGCCGACTCTCTATCCACTGAACCACACCGGTTTTGGCTCTTTGTGTTTGGCTCTTTTTAATAGATTTCAATCTACCCTTCCCTCCTCTTCCCCCCCCCTCCCCCCCCCAGGCAAGAAAAGACAAAAGGCAAAGCCCCTCTAACCCCTTAGAACAGCCAGGTCAGATCAGGAATTAAGTCACTGCAAACAGTCCTGCTGAGTCAGGAACTACAGAGGTGCCCTTCAGTCCGTCACCCCTCACCCAGGGTTCCCAGGGCTGGGAGAGAGAAGTCCCACCCGGCAGGGCCCTGGGTGCTGTGCGAAGCCCCTGGTCTGCCCGGCCCCTTTAAGCAGAATCTGCGGCTGTGCGTGCTCCCGGAGGCGCCGGGGTCAGGGGTCAGGGGTCAGGGGTCAGGCGTGGCGGGGCGTGCCTGGTCCCGCGCTCAGCCCGCGCTGGCGGCTGACCCGCTCTGTCTTCCTGTCTCGGAAGGACGGCACCACGGCGCTGCTGAAGGCGGCCAACAAGGGCTACCACGCCGTCATCGAGGAGCTGCTCAAGTTCTCCCCCAGCCTGGGCATTCTGAAGGTGAGACCGTCGCCAGCGTGGAAGAAGGGGCTGGGAGCGGAGGGTCTGTGCTCGCCCGGGCCGCGTGGCTCAGGGGACACCAGGAAGCCACGGCTCGATTTCCGGTCAGGGCACAGGCCCGTGTGTGGGCTCCATCCCCAGGGTGGGGCGTGCAGGAGGCAGCTGATCCGCGATTCTCTCTCATCGTGGATGTCTCTCTCTCCCTCTCCCTTCTTCTCTGCAATCAATTAAAAATATATATATTTTAAAAAATTTTATTGATTGCAGAGAGGAAGGAAGAGGGAGAGAGAAATAGAAACATCTGTGCTGAGAGAGAATCATGGTGGATCAGCTGCTTCCTGCACGCCCCACACAGGATGGAGCTCACAACCCGGCTCCATCACGTGCCCTGACTGGAGTTGAACCTGGGACCTTTCAGTTCACAGGCCAACGCTCTACCCTCTGGGCCAAACCGGCCAGGGCTATTTTTCTTTTTTTAAGAAAAGAGCGTTGGCAGCACTCACTCTGACCGGCGGCCGTGGACCTGCGGACACGCTGTCAGAGGTGCCGTGGCTCTGAGAGGGGGCGCGATGGGGAGGAGGCTCCCGCATGCCGTCTCCTCGCTCGGCCGGTCCGTGCTGCCGCTGAGTCACTCCTGACCCCGGTCTTTCCTCTTAGAACGGGACGTCGGCGCTCCACGCCGCAGTGCTCAGCGGGAACATCAAAACCGTCAAGCTGCTCCTGGAGGCAGGGGCGGACCCGGCCCTGAGGAACAAGGTACGGCCTGCCTCCGCGTCCTCCCCCGTCAGGCACCACCTCTCCGGCTCCTGTCACTCACTCTCTCCGTACTTCTGCCTGGTAACGGCAGGCAAGGCGGTCATGGGGTTGTGAGCAGTACCTTTGGACCCAGAGAATTACACTAAATGTATGTTTTCTGTTGTTGTCGGAGAGGAAGCGGGAGAGACAGAAACATCTATGATGAGAGAGAATCATCGATGGGCTGCCTCCTGCACTGGACATGGGCCCTTGACTGGGACTCGAACTGGGACCTCCTGGTTCATAGGTCGACGCTCAACCACGAACAACGCCGGCCAGGCTGGACCCAGAGAATTACTCTCAAACCCTGTATCCTCCGTGGGTTTCGGCTAACAAGGGTGCGATCCAGGGGCGGCCAGGGGACAGAGCAGGGTTCTGAGTGTCCTGTCATCCTCGAAGTGCCTGGAAATGCCTGAGTCTGGTCATTATCGCCGCCCCGGAGGCCGGATGGCCCTGTGCCGAGGACTGCCGGCACTCCTGTCCCCTTTATGCTGTGAACGGGACTCCACCTCCCTGTTTCAGAACCAGACGTGGTTTTTATAACCCACACTCTCTGGTTTAGTCAGGCCACCTCTGGAGGTGGAAGGTAGTCGAAGAAAAACACAGCTGTTGTCATATTTCCTCGTATTCACCTTCTTCATAAGCTTCCCAATGGGCGGGGCGGGCGGGGGCAGGGGCCTAGGACAGGGGCTGAGAAGGCACACTGCACCGCTGACTTTTGTTTTTTGTTCAAAGATTTTTAAGTTTATTTTTAGAGAGAGAAACATCAATGGTTGCCTTCCGCTTCTGCCCTAACAAGATGGAACCCGCCTGCCACCCAGGTACGCACCCTGCCTGGGAATCGAACCGGCAACCTGTGGTGCCCAGGACGGTGCTGAGCCATATTGAAGGAGGGGGGGGGCGGGGAGTGGAACGCCCGTTTTTGTTTTACGCTTTCCCGGGCCGTTTGGAATTTCCAGTGGCGTCAGCTATTGGGTCTGACTCATTAATAAGGAAAACAAGCCAGGAGCCCGCAGGGCCCTTTGAAAAGGAACTGGAAGGCCAGAACCACTGGCCGAGGGTCTCCTCTCCACTCAACCCTGGAGCCATTTCCTCGTTCCTGCCACTGACCCGTGGGCTGGGGACAGCTTATCTCTGCTTATCTCTTCCCGAGATGCTGAGATTGGTTCCACTGGTCAGCCGGCTGTGAGCTGTGCTGTGTGAAGAGGGAGCCCTGAGCTGTGCTTCAGGCACCGGGTTCAGCTCTTCTGTGATAAAGCCGCTATCTTATCTTTAGACCTTGGACAGGGACTTCCCTAGGGAGTAACAGTCCTGTGACTCAGCCCTCCAGGGCTGAATGAAGGGGCGGGTTTGGGGGAGAGGGGGGTTAGGACCTTCTTATAGAAGCTGAAAAGCTGTGCCTCTGGGATCTCGGCGCAGGTGGTTGTGGGGGTTCCAGTGAGCACAGCACCTGCTGGCTGGGCCCAGAGCGGTGAACCTGTGTGCGGGCTGCTGCGAAGGAGGTTCACGCGGGCCCTCCGAGGCACACACTGGTGTTTGTGGAGCACATGCTAAGCACACGGAGTTTGCGCTGGAAACGGGAACACACGACCAAGAAGCAGGGGCCCTGGCGTCCTGGTGAGAGGCACGCTGGGTAGAAAAGTAACCCTCACCTGGGACTTCGTTTCATCCCAGAGAGACCTTTAGGCTGGGCACCCAGCAGAGTGCCGTGGGGTTTTCACCAGGAAAGAAGCAGGTTGGGGTCAGAGGAGCAGGGGCTCCCCCTCTTTGGAGCCCCTGAAACCACCCCAGCGGGGGGAGTCGCTCACGCCCGTCTCACCTTCTCCCAGGCCAACCAGCTCCCAGCAGAACTCACCCAGAACGAGCGCATCCTGAGCCTCCTCGGAGGCAAAGGCGGGCACAGGAGGAGCTACCTCAGCTGCATATTTGACTGAGGGAGAAACCAGCACCACCTGCGCACTGGACGCTGCTCTCCCACAGAGAGCCGCCGAGGCTCTCCGAAGCAGACAAGACCCGGGGTGCCGCCCAGGTTCCCGGCCACGAAGAGCCGTGCCTGGAGCCGGAAGCACAGCTCAGGGCTCCCTCCTCACACGGCGGCTCCCACGGCCCGCAGCCCCCTCCCGCGGGCTGGCAGGGTCGTGGGCTCCGCAGAAACGTCTTAAACTGGACTCACTAGGGCCTCTCCTTTCAACCCTGATTGTTAAACCTCCGCAGAGCTGTAAGTAAAAAGACAGACAGAAAGCCTTTGAGAGACCACAGGTCTGGCCTCCAATGAACTCGTGCCCTCTAGCTTTCGTGTTCCATGGAAGTGTGCTAACATGTGTAGCTCCGTGACACCTTACACGTATGCATGTATGTCATCCCCGTATAACATGTTTCTCCTACCCCAGGGTCACAGCCATGGTCTCAGAGACCTGACGTGTGAACTTGCATTATTTATTTATTTATTTATAATATATTTTATTGATTTTTTTACAGAGGAAGGGGAGGGATAGAGAGTTAGAAACATCGATCAGCTGCCTCCTGCACACCCCCTACTGGGGATGTGCCTGCAGCCAAGGTACATGCCCTTGACCGGAATCGAACCTGGGACCTTTCAGTCTGCCGGCTGATGCTCTATCCACTGAGCCACACCGGTTTCGGCTGAACTTGCATTATTAAGAAGTCAGAGTTGGGCTGTTGGACGAAAGAGACAGAGTGTTCACGTGTGAGTTGATCCTCGTCTCATTCCTAACACGTAAAAGCCATTTGTACCTGGAGTCCGTATTGTAGGAAGGGCCGTATGCAAGTGGCACATTCGGAAATCCAGAAAATCACAAACCACAGGACGGGTATGTGTGTGTGTGTGTGTGTGTGTGTGTGTGTGTGTGTTTCTTTGAGCTTTTATGTTGGTTATGTTTTTGTGACTGTTTCCTGGGCCATTAACAGGCTTGGAATCTGGAGCTCTCACATCGCACTGCTTGGTCCAGTGGCTTTGCGGTCCTTGGATAAAATGGGAAACGTGCAAGTACAATGCATCGCTATTACTATAGCAGGTCTAGAAGTAATAAAAGCCTGTTATTCGTAGGTAGTAGGTGTTCCTCTATGCATGTTCTTGAGCTAATGGACCCCGAGAAGGAGCCCTGGGTTTTATTGAATTATCCCTCGGAGACTGGTGTCAGCATTCATACTCGGTGCACTTTCTCACCAGTGGTGTCTATATGCCTCGGTCGGTGCCTCCTCGCACAGACACAAGCTACCCTGCTCGCTGTAACCTACTGTGACGAACACGTGTGTTTCTGTGGCTTAGAAACACGTCTTTGCTTCTCTGGCTCCTGTTCTGCTCTGTGTCCAGCCAGTGTCCTGTGTAAATACATGTTCACACAGAGGGACATGTAACCCCAGGAGGTTTTTTTTATAACCAACTTGCCGTACTATTAAAAGCATTTTCCTTAAGTCAGTCAACAATGGAGTACAGTTTTGAAATTAGAAGATATCCTCTTAAGGTTTGTTATGATCAATAACATAACCAACAGATATTGGCTTATTCTGATCATTCTCACAAGCAAAGTCAGCAATGAGCAACCCACAGCCTGACCGTCTGCGCAGCACGCCTGCCGTCTCAGTCAGGATGGAAACTCAGAGGCTTCGTCTGGATTGCTGAGCCCCGAATATTAATATCTAGTAGCTGCAAAGCAGCACCAGGTTCCTTACTTTCTTCCACTCGGCAAAGTTGTGCAATTACTTCCCCGCACGGGAATTTCATAAAGCAATATTTATTTTGAAGAGGAAAATAATGTGGCCTTAGATTTTTAATATTTTTTGCCTTTGTTAGAGCCCTTAAGCCAAAAATGGTTGCTCATCATTGACCTAAATCCAAAGTTTTATGGGGACTGATAACAAATTTCCAAAAGACAAAAATGCATTGAAGTCACAAACTTAATGTTGTTTTTTGTTTTTGTTTTTGTTTTCCACTAAGACTTGTTTTCCTTGGCCTTTTTATTAGATCATTTTATGTGGATAATGCTCTTGATCAATATCAGGGCCATTAAAATGAATCTAGTAGCATTAACAATATTTAAGGGAGGTCTCTAATTGTAGGCGAGAGGTCTCTAGTTTAGAAGGCTCACATGTGGTCTAGGTCAGATTATATTACCCACAGCAGGGAATATGATTCTCTAAATCACTCACCCAAGACTGAAAAAAAAACTAGTCTGTCATTTAAAGTTAAATTGCCCCCGAGCCTGCAACCTGAGCATGGGCCCTGACTGGGAATCAAACTCTGATCTCCTGTTTCATAGGTTGATAACAGGCACATGGATTACTTTTCATTGAACTTACTGGGTGACATCCTATATAATAAAGAAGTAATATGCAAATTGACCCTCACATCCTCACAAGATGGTTGCTTATGACCAGGCCAGCAGGGGAGTTAGTGAGGGACAATCAAACAACCGAACAAGCAGGCTGCATGGGGCGACCAGGCCAGCGGGGGTGGGGTCAGTTGGAGGCAACCAGGCCAGCAGGAGGGGCAGTTAAGGATGACCAGGCCAGTGTGGGGGCAACCAGGCCAGCTGGGGGGGGGGGGGCAGTTGGAGCAATTAGGCTGGCAGAGAGGGCAGTGAGGGACAACCAGGCTGGCAGAGGGGGCAGTTGGGGTGGACCAGGCAGGCAGGTGAGTGATTAGGAGCCATTGGTCCAGGATTGTGAGAATGATGTCTGACTGCCTATTTAGGCCTGATTCCTGGGATTGGGCCTAAACCAGCAGTCGGATATCCCCCAAGGTGGGTTTCGGATTGTAGAGGGTGTAGACTGGGCTGAGGGGACCAACCATCCCCCCATGTATGAATTTTGTGCACCAGGCCTGTAGTTGGTTAATAAAATAATAAAGATTTCAGGTGTGAACTTCTAAAAAAAATTTTTTTAGTTTAAATTGCATTTATTTGCACACAGGTAGATGGTTCTTGTTTTATGTTCATCTAACTCACAGTTCATTGAGCTCTTAGAACTAGCAATTCCTACGCGAGGCATTTGCTCAGTTCAACCACAGAAGTTTTTTATATGTCCATTTGTTTGATGAAATATTCCCAATTACAATTCAAAGTAAAGTTCATGACTACCCAGTTTGCCTTTGCTGCTTTTCCCTGTGTGTGTTCAATCCAAAGGTATTTCTGTGATTTTTAATAAAATGGAATTTTAGAATTAATGATTCAGCTCTGTAAGCTCTATGTTCCTTATAGACCTATGATTTCATTATTTCTACTGTGGATAATGGCGCCAGAAGGTTTTTTATTCAGACAAAAATCCCCGGGAGAGGCACAGAAGACACTACAAATGGAAACTCACCATTGTTTTGCTGCGTTGAGTGTGGGAAGTCGGGGGAGAACGTTGCAGCATGGAGGCAGTACGGGTGGAGAAGACATGTTTTTCAAAACGGATAGAGGCGGAGCTAAGAAATAGTTGATAAATTGAACATGGAGAGCTGGAATTATTCTAAGGAGGTCAGGAGACCCTAAGACCGCCCCCGTTTTGCTGATTGGCTGGGATGAGCCCCCGAGAGCTCATCCTGCGGTCACACTCGTGGCGGAGAGGTCAGCACGGGGAAGGGAAGTGGATGACGACAGGAAGCAGTGCAGGCCTCCTAGTCCTCCCTCAGGGTCACTGGATGAGCTTGCTTGCTCTCTCGAGTTGTGACAGTCTCGCCAAGTGCTGCCCCCTGGGGAACCGCCACAGAGACTCACCCAGGCTTTTGGTGAAGAACTGGTCTCAGGCACCCGCTGCCTGGCATTTGCCAAAATCCCAGACTTCCAGGCATTTGGCACAGACTACATCGCTTGTAAACAACTGGGGCTCAGTGAGCCTTTACCGTTCAGGGGGAGTGTGACAGCGAGTCCCCAGATGCCAGCTGACAGCTGACCTGGCAAGAAGCTCTAAGGCAGGGGTCGGCAAACTGCGGCTCTCGAGCCACATGCAGCTCGTGGGCTGCGGTTTGCCGCTCTGTTGACTGAATTTGCCGACCACTGCTGTAAGGCATTACCCAGAAGTTTTGACTTCAGGTTAAAGACATTAGTACATTATTAAAATGGTTTTAGGTGTTTTTCCTTAAGGCAGTGGTCAGCAAACTCTTTAGACAACAGAGCAGCAAACGGCAGCTCTTGAGCTGCATGTGGCTTGCGAGCAGCAGTTTGCCAACCCCTGCTCTAAGGTGAGCAGCTCCAGGTTTGCTGTGTTAATGCTTCTCCTCACGCGAGATTTCACGGTGCACACAGTGCCAGTAACCGTGGTGGGGCGTAGGGAAGACAGCAGAGTTCAGGGACACACATAGAGAGAGCGAGCGAGCTTCGGACAAGTTCAGCTGAAGAACCTGTGAAAGCAGGCTCCAGAGGGCAGCTGAACGCAGCAGCTGATGTTTAGAACAAAAGGGTCACTGGTTTGGGGCCTCATCTCTGTAGAAGGGACTTTGAAGCTAAAAAAGGAAGTCAGGAACAACACGAAGTGGACAGCAGGCATGGCTCAGTGGTTGAGGGTCGACCTGTGAACCAGGAGGTCACAGTTCAGTTCCCAGCCAGGGCACATGCCCAGATTGCAGGCTCCGTTCCCAGTGTGGAGCGTGCAAGAGGCAGCCAATTGATGATTCTCTCTCATCATTGATGTTTCTCTCTCTCTCTCTCTCTCTCTCTCTCTCTCCCTTTCTCTCTGAAATCAATAAAAACACATTTTGTAAATGTTGTCTTGAAATGAGTGTGGCTGTGACGGGTAGAACAGTACTGGGGAAGCCACTCCTAGCACTTCTAAGGCGTGGCTGGCATCGGGCAGAACGTGTCCCCTCGGCTCTGTCACGAGAAAGGAAGCCAGTGATGCCACTCCGTGAAGATGCAAAGCTGTGTGGTGCCCCGGAGACGGGCCTGTGAGTTCATGTGGTAGACCTTCCTGGCGACATGTCCGTCGCGGGTCGGTGGGTGTTGATTGGTGGGTGCGGTGCGTGGAAGCCGGTGGAGGGGAGCTGGGACTTTGATGCCGCTGCCCCACCCCTACCTGTGCTTCAAAATATGGAGAAAAACAATGAACACACAGACAACAAGTTAGATGCTCTCCCAGCAAAATTAGAATGCTTGATCTCTCATTCCTCCCGCTGACAGCCAGAGAAATCTCACCCGCTGAGCCGACCAAACACCAGCAGGACAAACAGGCTCACTGACTATTACACTTTGCCCTCAGCTGAATAATCTGTGCATTCGTGGAAAGGCAACACTTTAAGGTTATTTTAAATGATGGGTGAGGTCATGTTTTGACAAGCGAAGGACGTTATGAAAGACCTTATGTTCCCGCGTCAGCTTCCTCAAAAAGAGTGACTTCTCCGGTCTTCAGCCTCTTTCCCCCTCACCGGGCTTAAGCCTCTTATTTTTAAGGAAGGAGATGCTGTTCTCCCCACTATCTGCAGTGCGGAGAGCCGGCACGGCCATCCTCAGCCCCAGGTGCCTTATATGCCACTCCAGATCGGCCAGGTTCACTGACCCTGAGAGGGGCGGTGAAGGATTGAGAAAAGACAGACAAGAGAATAAAGCTGGGTCTCAGGGGGACACTGCTCCCGGATGGAGAGACAGCGCCAGGGACTACAAACCAAGTCTTTATTTTATAGCCAATGCCACGAGGCAAAGTGAGGGGGTGGTCAAGATGGTTACAACATTCTGTGGGTTTTGATCCTCCTTAATTACATGCACCTGATCCAGCTTTGTTTACCTGTAGCCTCTATCACTCAAGCACATGGGGTCAGTGTTCAGACCACAGGTTCACACTCACAACTGCAGCTGTTGCCTGTCACTGTGCTGGGAGGCTCTGCCTCCGGGCTGGGAGTTGCACGTGGCCATGAGGACTGTGCCCTCTCCTCAGTCCAAGGCCTAAGCCTGTCCAAACTCTGTAGCCGCGCCCACACCACACTCGGACTTGCGAAGAGCCTAAGGGAGAAAGGCGTCAGTTTACAGAGGTGGACAGCCTCTTTCAGGAAAGATGAGACCAAAACCAACTCCCGCAAAGGAAATTGTGTCCCCAATGGAGCCTCCAAGGAAGGGAACAGCAATGTGGAACACTGACCGCCTCGTCTGGAGCCATCTGCATGCTGGTGACATTGTCCCTGCGCGGCAGTCCCCACCCCAGGACTGGATTAGTCACCAAGTCCAAGGCCCTCACGAGCTCTAATGATGTCACCATATGTTTGGCCAACAACGCCCCATTTCTGAGTCAGAACCGCTGGCACAAAGTCATGAGTTGTGGCTATTTTCAGCGAAGATGTCAGTGAACTTTGGCTTGCTTCCGGGTGGAGTTGTAAACATCTATTGCAGCCCTGGCCGTGCTCTCAGAGGTTAGAACTCAGGAGGGCTCACTTCCCCTTCATGGCACATACCTGAATTACAGGTTCAATCCGAACTCTCGTCCAGGTGCATGTAGGAGGCAACCAATAGATGTGCTTTCTCACATTGATATTCCTCTCTCTCTCTTATTTCACCTCCCTTCCCTCCCTTCCACTCTATCTAAAAATCAATGGGAAACATATCCTTGGGTAAGGATTAACAAAAAAAATATTAGTAATAAAGCATATTGCTAAATGCAAAAAAGCAAACCACAAAATGTGTACTGTATGCCTTCACCTGCTTAAAAGTCTAATATGTCTATCTAATAAAAGTCTATATAATGAAAGTCTAATATGCAAATCGACTGAACAGTAGAACAACCAGTTGCTATGATGTGCACTGACCACCAGGGGGCAGACGCTCAACGCAGGAGCTGCCCCCTGGTGGTCAGTGCACTCCCACAGCGGGAGCGCCATTCAGCCAGAAGCCAGGCTCACGGCTGGCGAGCGTAGCAGTGATGGTAGGAGCCTCTCCTGCCTTTGCGGCAGCACTAAGTCCAACTTAGTTAATAAGTGGAACTTAGGCCACTTCCCCCATTAGTTGGACATCTCCAGAGGGCTCCTGGGCTGCAAGAGGGTACAACCGGGCTGAGAGCACTCCCTCCCCCAGTGCATGAATTTCATGCACTGGGCCCCTCGTATGTTATATTTATATAAATGTTTTCAAATACATAGAACTCTTCCGGAGGATGTTTTTGCACATTTATAAAGATGCCTATGTCTAATAATTTCATTTCCCTCGTTCTGTCCTTTGTTATTATGCAATCATTGTTGAATTGTGTATATAATCATAGAGGCATTATTATTTAAACAAACAAGCAAAAAGTCTCTCTTAGGGTCTCAACCATGTAAAAATGATTTTCATAGAAGGATAAATACACCACAATGTGACACAGATTACTCATGATGGTGGAATTATAGATGATGTTTCTATTCTTGTCTCCCAATTTTCGTGTATTTTCAAAGTTTCTACCATAGGCATGCATGGGTTACTTTGTTATGGGGTGGGGCTGATGGGTGATGTAACTTAGGAATCGAAGAGTTTATTTTATAAATATACACTAGAAAAATTATATATACACCAGGCTTTTGGGCATTGTTGAAATTGTAGGAAAGACAGACCAGAAAAAATCCCTTGTATGTATGGTAAAAAAGATCTTTGTTTCTGTTTTGAGACTGGTGGGCATACTAGTAATTTGTGGGGCATCAGAATTTCTGCCCGTCCCAGAAATGTTGTGTCTGCAGCTTGGAACTCCCTTAACTCACGACTACTAATTTGTAAAGGGTTTTGCTGTAGTTTCCACAGGATTTTGCTGAAGTTGGGGGGCTAACCAGCCCTCCAGGCCTGGGGATGCCTGACAGTTGAGACCCTGTGTGTGGCAGGGAGGGGATTGGCACTCTTCATTGCTACTGATGGGTATTTATTTGGACTTTTCATTGTGAATCCGAGTCCGCTGTGGGGAAAGAGAGCCTTACCTCTATCTCTGTAACTTCAAAATGGAAATAACTGATGCTAATGTTCAGGAGTGCTCTCAACGATTGAAATCCGAGGGGCAATGTTGTCAGAAATGCATGGAATAAACGTAAATGCACGCCCAAAAAAGATGAAAATATATAAAAATAAGAAGAGGCATGTTGACAAAACAAACACACACAGAAGGGGCGGTGCTTCATCTTTGTCTTTCGTGACTGCACCTGGAACTCAGGAAAAGGACTCGGGTCCCACTCGCAGGGGAACTGGGGTTTGATTCTCTGCCGCGCCCAGCCCCGCCAGCAGAGGGCGAGGCTCCCGCGCTTCTCGGGACGCAGGCTGACCTGACGGAGCCCAGACCGGGTGACCCGGGGCCTCGCCCGCCCCGCCCCGCCCGCCCCGGCGCTGGGACCCGGACGCCCTTCGGTGACAGAGGATCACACGCTCGGGCCACCGCGCCTGCTCGGACCTAGAATAAGCACGCATTCCGCTGCCGTGGGAGCCTTACGCTGAAACACCATCTCCAAGACCTCCCGTTGGCTCACACCTTCTCGCCCACCATCTTCAACCAAAGAAAAAGACAAAAAGGGGAGAAATGAACGTAAAGCGCGAAAACCACACATTGCTCCCAGCGGATTCCAGAAGTGAGCCGCCCAGGAGGTGCTCAGTGGTTAGAGCCTCCGCCCCACACGCCAAGGCTGCGAGTTCAGCCCTGGTCAGGGCACGTGCAGGAGTCAGCCAATGGGCGCATTAATAAGTGGAACAACAAATCCGTGTTCCTCTCTCCCTCTGAAATCTATCGATCAGCAAATAAGCAAATAAGGAAGAAAAGCCCAGAAGTTGAGCTGACCTAGTGCGGGTGGCCCTGGCCCCACTCCGCCCCCGCGGGAGGCACAGACAGGTGCCGGGCTGGGACCCAGGAGGCCGCGGTGGCCGGGTCTGGCCCGTCCCGCTCCGGGCTGTGGCCCCGCCCCCTCCATAGCCCATAGCCCCGCCCCCTCCATAGCCCACATAGCCTCGTCCCCTCCATGGCCCCGCCCCAGGACGGTCCCCTGGCCAAGCGGCGGCGGCCCCTCCCGGAAGGGGGCGGGCCTGACGACGCCTCTTCCTTCCTGACCTGCGCGCGCAGCCCCCGGCGCTGCGTCCTGCCTGACAAGTGCAGCTTTCTGTGTCCGCGGGAGCCGGGACGGGGTTCTGAGGAGCCGGACCGAGCCCAGCCGGACCGTGCCGAACCGAGCCGAACATGAGTGCGCGCGGCATGAGTGCGCGCGGCCCGGCCCTGGGCCTCCTGCTGCTGCTGCTGCTGTGCCCGGCGCAGGTGAGCGGCCGGGACGGGGCTGCGGGCGGCGCGGCGGGGCCGGGGGCCGGAGGGCGGCGGGGCCTCTGCGGAGCCAGCCGGCTGCTTCCCCGGCCCCGAGGGTAGAAGGAGGCTGCTCTGGGAGCCCAGGTTCGGCCCGTTTGGCGCTCATTCCGCGGGGCCCCTCGGTTCTGGGTTTAGGGCGCGGGGAGAAGGAGGGAAGAGGGAGCGGGACGGCGTCTGTAGCCTGACTTTGTTTCCTTAGCCTGCCGCGCGCACCGGCTCTTACCATGGGTTTAGGCTCCGACCACGTTGTGTTCCCTTCTCGTCCCCAGGATGAGGCTGAGGGCAGTGAGCAGGGGTGAGGGAGGGGAAGGTTTAAGGAAGGTGGGAGGGGAGAGAAGGGAGGTATGAGGGAAGGGAAGGAAGGTGAAGGTGTGAGGGAAGGAAAAGGTTTGCAGGAAGGTGTGAGGAAGGCATGAGGGAGGGGAAGCAGGTAAGCTCATCTGGCACAGCTGCACGTACCTGACAGGAGCCGGCTCGGTCTCCTAAAGGGGCAAGTTGCCTCTTACCAGCTCTTCACGTCTTTGGAAGCTGAGTCCCAGGGGCCACCCGACTCCCCTGGCGGCAGGACCCAGGGACCCCAGGACCCGGTGGCCCCAGGTCCCAGTGGCCCCAGGACCTAGTGGCCATAGGACCCAGCGGCCACACCATCCAGTGGCCACAGGACCCTGTGGCCCCAGGACCCAGTGACCCCAGGACCTGGGGAATCCAGGATCCAGTGGCCATAGGACCAAGGTGGCCCCAGGACCCGGTGTAGCCACAGGCCCTGGGGGCCCCAGGGTGGGCTGATTGCCCTTGGTCAGGCTGCCTGGGCAGGAGTGCCTTGCTATTGTGTGTGTATCTAAGCTTCCTCTTTGAAAACCCGGGGACACAGGGGGTGTCCAAGGATCCAGTGCTGGTTAAACCAGATCAGGATGAAAGAGGAACGTAGAGGTCCTGTGCCCTTGTGCCTGCCTGAAGGGTTGGCAGTGGGGTAATAAGTCACACCACAGGCAGACTAGGGCTTTTCAGGACCAGGAAACCTCTCCTTCGCTCTGTGTGGCCACCAGGAGGGTGTGGGAGACACCGATCCAGTAAGGGTCCCGAGCCAGAGGGGCGCTGGCTCCCTCCTGGGTGTGTATGGGGGTCCCATCCCCGTGGCCGTGGGTGCGGGTTGGAAGAAGAAGCCGAGGAAAGCAGGTTTCGGAAGGCGGTGAGCGGGTACCACTCTCTAGCACTGGCTCTGGGCACATCCCTCTTTCAAGCCTCAGTTTTTTTCTGAAGATACACAGTGAATATCTCAGAGGACTCCTCGCATCCTTAAGTAGCATGATACAGGAGAGACCTCATCGCTTTAGAAAAAACTCAAGCGATAGCAGCAGTGATGAGCCTTAAAGAAAGTGCAGCTGTCCAACATGCCCCGCGTTTCAGTCAGGATCTCATAGCTTCCCAGGGTCCAGTAGCTTCCACTGAACAATGCAATCCCTTCACCTGGAGGTGGTACCCAGGCTGCTGGCCAGAGATCCTCTAGGACTTTGGGGGTAGGTCAGAGGTCAGTCACAAGTCTCTTGCAAAATGTCTGGGAGCCTTGGACAGGTCTGTGAAGCGTAACTGGAAAAACTCCTATTGTGATTTCATAAGTCAACTCCCTTGCGTCTGTGAAAGCTCGCAGAGCACCTGAGCGGGTGGGGATGGGCGGGGACAGGATGGCTGTCTTCAGATTCTTACCGCTGACAGCAGCTCATCTGGGTTCCATCTGAGCACTAATAGCGTTCTGTCACCGAAGTACAGACTAGCTGTCCTCTGATGGCCCCAAAGACATTTTGGAGGGGGTTTCCAATTTAAAATTTTTACAAATGATGAAATAACCTTACTTAAAATCCTTGTAGTCATCCAAATAATGTGTACAGTTTTGAGAAATAGGTTGTGTGTGTATCTATATTATATACATTTATCCTGACTATTTTTATAAGCTTTTTCTTGAGGAACTTGGAGCATGGTGAGGCCTGGGTAGGAAGTAAGCCATTAAAACGGCTTTTCCTGCGGTTGGGAATGGTTTACAGTTTTGAAGAAGAACCACCTGGAAGTGGAGTGAACGTGGGTGATCTGTCTCGGTCTCTGCTTGGATTGCTGCTGAGACAGACACTCTTCTGCTATCAGCGCTCAGGGAAAGTAGGCTCTCACTCCGGCCAGTGGGCAGAAAGAACGGCCTGCTGAATAGGTCTTTGTGCTCCTCGGTGCTGGTCATGCCACCCAGAACAAAGGGCCCTCTGCTCCTGGCAGCGCTCTGGGTAGCCCTGCCTCCCAAAAGGGAGGCTTCTCGGGGAGTTTTAAGGTGACACCTTACCCACTGCGGAAGCCTGGGTCAGACCCTCTCTCACGCGACCTCGGTGCCCTTTCCCCCTCATACCCACAGCTCTCTTCAGCCAAATAAACGACTTGCTGTTAAAATCCCTTCGGTCTTCCCAGGCCAGTTCAAATGCCCCATCATCCTGACCTTCCTTTCCTATGCTCCCAGCTAAATGCCTCCCCTCGCAAGTTCTGAGTCTTTGTTTAAACTTTTGTCAGCATTTCTGCTGAGCAAACGACTTCGAATTAAAAGACGTGGCTGTGGGTCTCGCCTCTTTCTCTTCCCAGGAGAGATCCCCCGAGCCTCTGTTCCCTCCTCTGTCAAATCGGATTATCAGCTATCCCCACTGGTCAGGTGCTTGGGGAAGAGGACTAGAGTTTGAATTGAACTAGAGGGTCGCAGGCTCCTCGAGGGCATGAACTGTATTTTGCCATCTCCAATGTGGCCGGGACAATTGTCCGTGTCTCAGTCACCAAATCCTCAGGCTCTCGTGGGTTCAGATGGGGGGGGGGGGGGAAGGGGCAGGTTCCGAGGCTGGCGGAGAAACGACCGGATTTGTCCTTGGTGTCTTCGTTTTCCATCACCACTCACCAGCTGTGGCCACGCAGGCTTTCCTATGTTTGGACTGTGCCTCTTCTTTCCAGTCTTTGGAATGTTTGCTTTGGCTAGAAACCTCTAAAAAGTACGCAAACCAACAAAACCCTCGCTGATGCAAGTGTGCTGTTGGGGAGTTTGAGACCGAAACTTTAAAAGGTGTCCTTTATCTTAGGACTTGCCCTCAGGCCACAGAGGAACTCTAGTTATTGTCTTGCACTAATTTTATAAATGACAAGTGTTTGCTGTGGACACAGGGAAGGGATCAAAAGTAGATCCAACGAGTGAACGCTGCGGAGAGCCTTCTACCGAAGAGCTGGTGATGTTAGCAGCTTCTGTGCATCTTATTCATAGCTGACAGGAAGAAGAGAAATGCAGGAGAAATCCCAATGCAAAGGGTGTTTAGTAAAGGCAGGAAGAAAATGTCCGAGGAGCCCATGCTCTAGCCGACCTGTGCAGGGTCACTCACCTGGTGGACAAGAGGAAAGCTGGAAGAAATGGGGGAGGTTACCTAATTGTACTAAAGGGGGACATCATGGATCTAAATGTCCTCAGTGAACCATCTGAAAAGAACATTCCAGTTGATAAGGACTAAAGAAAGAAGAGCCACCTAGGTTTTGCCTAGCACTCCCATGGCTGGGGCTCATGTGATCTGGTTTTGAACTCACAGAACACCTTTTAGGTAAGAGCAATGTTTCCAGTTTTACAAATGTAGATAGTAGTGCTCAACTTTGTCCCGGGTCACATCCCGAGTAGGTGGCAGGCTGGGGGCTTGAGCCTCTTGACCTTTGACTCCTGTGTACTATGCAGGTTCAGAATGGTGCTCTCGGCTTACTTAGAGCTAGCGAGCTAAGTTGAGTGTGTGTTCAGCAAATGTTCTGCGTGGCCAATAAGGCCTTGGCTGTGGTTTCTCCAAAAGCCTGGCCTGGCCCGTGGTTCAGTGGCCACACTGTGTGAACATCCCATCGGAGAAAAGCCTGCAGACAGTGTACACCCATCCACTTCCGCAGTTTCATTTTGGTCTTTTGACTTGGATTGTTTTCAGACCGTGGGTGCTGGCGTTCAGCAGTGTCAACTGGTGTTACTAGGGGTGTGGTCATGGGTGAGTCACTTAAAGAAACTGCCAACTGCTTTATCCACGCAGTGACGAGAGCTGAGTCCTTCTAAGTGCAGATGTGTGATGCACACACCCATCTACAGGTGAGCCTGGTGCTCACGCAGATTACTCTTTGTTTTGTGAACGTGTTCACCCCAAGTTGCTGATAGAAGTCAGACCAGATACGCCTCCATGCCAGTGTCCTGCCATATTTGTGTGGTCCCCTCACTGGGGCTGGGGCTGGGGCTGGGTGTGTCTCTGGGTTCTGCCTTGGGCTCTGCCCGTTCAGGACAGGGCAGAAGGGAGGGATCCAGGCCTGTGCTGCACCTGCCTGAGAGTCACTTGTACTGAGAATGCAAGCAGGAACTGACACTGCATAGCGATGAACCTAAAAAGATGTAAATGGTACTCAGGTGCCAAGTTGAAGTAGAAAGAGGGACACTGTAGGATTGTAGCGGGTGGACAGCCCATCTCCGGCACACTGTCAGAAGCTCCTCATACATCTATGCATGAACGGATTGGAGTTCTGAACACACAGCAGCTGGGATGGGATGGGGGACAGGATGGAGGAGCTTAACGTGGTGCTTAACCTCTCCATTCTCAGCACTGGTTTCCTCCCTGATGAGCCATGTGGCCTCAGAGAACCTCTGAGCCTAATTTCCTTACCTGTGAAAAGCTACAACACTGCTCCGGGCGGGGAGGGTCCTGAAAATAAACAAGGAAGAAATCACGTAGCCTGGCTGACATTTGGTAAGTGTTTGAATATGAGTTACTTCATACTTCATTCTTCAGGATTTAAAAAATATATATTTTAATTGATTTTAGAGAAGAAGGGAGAGGGAGAGAGAAACATCAATGATGAGAGTGAATTAGGGATCAACTGCCTCCTGCACACCCACTACTGGGGATCAAGCCCATAACTCAGGCCTGTGCCCTGACTGGGAGTCGAACTGTGACCTCCTGGTTTATAGGTGTATGCTCACCATGAAGCCACCCTGAGCGGGGGGGTGGGGGACACACACACACACCCAACCACACACACACCCCAACAGGACCAACAGGACCATCAGGATTCTCTAAGGTTGCTGGTGTTCCGAGCTCCTCCATGTGAGAAGATGCTTTCATACAGCTTCCCACTGAGTCCATTCAGCAAGTTGCTGACATTTTTTTAGCCTTTTCTAAACTATTCTTATTATTCTTAAATATGTTTCTGTTGATTTTTTTTTTTTTTTTTTTAGAGAAAGAGGAAGGGAGAGGAAGAGAGATAGAAACATCAGTGATGAGAGAGAATCAGTGATCGGCTGCCTCGTGCTCGCCCTCTACTGGGGATTGAGCCCACAGCCAGACCCGAGGTCCCGTTGGATCACAGGCCCTTCTGGCTCCATTGGGCCTTGGATATTGGTGTGCTTTTTCCCTATCGGGCACAGTCCTTCCTCGGAGTGGCTGTTACTCACTGGCCTGGAGCCAGCACCAGGTGCTCCCTGTCATGGAAAGCAGACACCTGCTCTTGTTACCAGGTGCTCGCTTAGGGAGGCACCGGGGCCTGTGCTGAGCCCCTGGTGGTGGGGTCCCTCCATCTTGTCAGCATGTGCTGCCCTGACATCCAGGATTCGTAGGTGCCTCTGTCCTCTGTTGACAAAGTGCCGACTGCCCGCTGTGCTCTGGTGATTGGGAGACTGAAAATGGAACCGCTCAGATGCCAGCTGGGTCCTTGACGGGTTACAGAGATGAGGGTGGCCTCAGGGTGGTGAGAGGAGTGAGAGATCTGGCTTGAGAGTCAGCCTGGGTGGGGTAGGTCTGGCCTGCTGTTCCTGAGGAGTGGCCTCAGGTGGGTCACTGTACTCGCCGATCCTCCGCCTCCTCTGCAGAGGGTGTTGTTTTAGTCCCCGCCCCACGGACCTGAGGTTCAGGGAGCTGGTGAAGGCACACTCAGCAAGGGATGGGCGCTGGCCTGTGCCTGGTGGGTCCGGAGGTGAAGGGGGAAAGTGGCCTTGATGGGAGCAAGGGGTGTGGCCTGTAGGGCGGGGGCTGGAGGGGCTTGAGCTGTGACAGATGGGGAAGGGCAGGTGGGAGGTGAGCGGATAGAAGGTTCTGGGCATCAGAAAGCCTGTGGTGTGGCTCAGGAAGAGCCAGGTGGCAGCAGCACCTCCGAGACATTGCCCAGGTCTGGTAGAAGGTGTCACGAAAGGCAGAGAATGGCAACAGGCTCAGCAGGGGAGGAATTTGGGGAGGAAGAGGCACAGGATGCTGCACCAGGGAGCCTGGGAAATCCGGGAGGTGCCCGGTTTTAGGCCCCGAGGAGCAGAGACTGGTGATGGTGGGGGCTTCGGAGAAGCATCAGCCTCCTCTTGAGCACCCGGGGTGGCTGGGCACGTGGGTGGAAGTGGGATCGGGTTAGGGTGGCTGACTGAGGGAAAAAGGAATTGGAGCAGCATTCATAGGCAGGAGCAGGTGAGGGGACCAAGAGGGATGGGGTTGAAAATGTGGAAGAGAAGGCAGTCAGTTGATGGAGGAAGCGCAGGAACACCACCCATCGGGGCCGGGGATGATGGAGGGCGGCCTCCCACCGTTAGCTGGAGGTGAGAAGAGGAAGGTGGAGGTAGAGAGAGGTTTGAGATGGAAAAGGGCCGCCCCCAGCCCAGCAGCAGTGTGACACGTGTGTGCGCTTTGCACAAGGTGTGGAGTGGGAGGGAGTGTAATGTTAGAATGAGGACCTTCATTGTACAATAGAGTGTATTTTATTAAGACTTTTCCTGAAACAGTGATGTCCTGGTGTGCATCTTGATTCTGCCACTCTTGGACAAGTCACTTAGCCTCACTGTGCCTTGTCTCTTCATCTGCGAAATGGGTGTAATAACAGCAGCTCCCTCCTCAGCTCATTGTGAGGATTCCTTAGTTCAAACCGTGCCTGGCTCTTAGGAAAGGGCTGGTACGTACTCTGGGCCCCACTGGCTTAGGGCTGCTTTAGGCAGGGTGACTTCGGGAGCAGAGCCAAGGACGCTGAGTCCAGCCCTGTGTCCCTGGTCTCAGAGGAGCCTGGCATTTTATCATCCTCAGGTCTCTGGAACCCCTTTGCTGAGGTCCCAAAGGCTGGGAGACGTTAGTGATAAACCCTTTGTTTGTACAGCACTTTCACGTTTACCAAGCACTTTCAGTGTATTCCCTCACCTCACGCCAGCCCTGTGAGGTGAGCAGTGGCGTGACCACACTCACAGGCAGGAAGCTCTCTCTAATCCATTCCATCCCCTCCTCTCCCCTCCCCTCTCCTCCCTTCTCCCTTCTCCTCTCCCCAGATGGTGAAACCCTGCTTTGAGATAAATGATACAAACAGCACCGGGTCATGGTTATTTCCTTTAGAGTGCTGAGAAGGGGAACTGGGCGCCAGACACTCATCCTGCTAGCCAGGCCCGAGTCACAGCTGTGGTTTGTTAGCTGGATTTCTGCCTCGCCAGTGGGCCACATGCCAGAGGCCACTCTCCCTGCCCCCCCCGCCCTGACCCAGCCCAGACTTGCTTGCCATGTTGGTCTGTTGGGAATTCTGTGAGGTGGGGTGGGGGGTGTCCTTTGTTTAAATGGCGTGTCAGTATCAGCATTGCCCATCCCGGTCTCCTGGGTCAGCTTTTTTGCCTTTTCAAACTTCAGTAGATGGACAAAGACCTTTCAGTTGGAAACCCAGAGTCCTGGAAAGAACAATACTTTCCCTAGAACTGGGAATAATTGTGATTCTTTTTGCCTAAATATACTGATGGAATTTTGCAGCATCTTGCCAAAGGTTTGGTATGTGGTGTTTTCTAATAGTTGTCACGTCCTCATTTGTATCATTTGTATAATGAGTCGAGAGAGGGACCTTTTGTTTTTCTTTTTTTTAATTTCTTTTCCTTTTTTTATTAAATTATTATTTGTGTACATATTTTAACATTGCCCCCCCCCCCATACATACCCTCCCTCCTCAGAGTTTTGTGTCCATTGGGTGTACTTATATGCATGTATACAAGTCCTTCGGTTGATCTCTTATCTCCCCCAGATCTCCCTACCCTCCCGCTTTAATTTGACAGAGGGACCTTTTATTTTTTTATTTTTTAAATATATTTTATTGCGCTTTTATAGAGGGGAAGAGAAAGGGATAGAAAGCTAGAAACATCGATGAGAGAGAAACATCGACCAGCTGCCTCTTGCACACTCCCTACTGGGGATGTGCCCACAACCAAAGTACATGCCTTTGACCGGAATCGAACCTGGGACCTTCAGTCCACAGGCTGATGCTCTATCCACTGAGCCAAACCAGTTTCGGTGAGAGAGAGGGACCTTTTAAAAATACCTGAATGAATTCAGAGTCCAATCATATTGACCTCTCTGGTTCCCCCCACGTCTGCTCCTCAGCTTCCTGCCTGATTTTTCTTCCCTGTTTTCAGGTCTTCAGGGCCTGTTGTGGGGTTTGTTTCTCAACGCTGGGATCACCAGCACCGACTGCCAGCCCTACATGTGTGTGGGTCCTGTCCACTCCCCGGGAGAATGCACAGTGGCCTCGGGGCAGACTGTTTACGATGACTTCCCTCCAGGCGTTTGGGAGCCCGGCCAGAGAGGGATGTCCTCCCTTTCCTTGAGGGACAGGGGACAGGGGCCGGGACAGCTCCATTGTGCAAGCCCTTGGCTTGTGGCTGGCAGGGCCGGTGACAGCTGACCTGGTGACTCACACGGCACCTCCTCCCTCATCAGTTCCTGCCGCCTTGTGACTGTCACATGGGGACATGAGTGGCTCTTGAGAAATCTCCAAGGGAGAGGCTGTGCACTTTTCTCTTAGGATCAATGAAGTGACTTTCCTTAGAATGAGCAAACTTACTCTCTCCTTCCCTTAGGACCGTGGCCGGCAAACTCATGAGTTAACAGAGCCAAATACCCACAGCACAACGATTGACATTTCTTTGGAGAGTTTAAGTTTATTTTTTAAACTTAAACTTCTTCTAACGCCACTTCTTCAACATAGACTCGCCCAGGCCGTGGTGTTTTGTGGAAGAGCCACCCTCAAGGGGCCAAAGAACCACATGTGGCTCTCGAGCTGCGGTTTGCAGATCACTGCCTTAGGACAAGGGTGTGTTCTTGCTGCTTCTTCCTGAGGGGCTGTTGGTGTTGGTGACTCTGTTCTCCCTGTGAGTCATGAGGGGCTGCTGTCAGTTCACCTGAACACAGAGGGATGGTTCCCCCACTCCTTAGCCCCTAGTTCCTTACTCAGAACACCCCGTGTCTGCGTCATCACATGCTGTCTGTCCTCGGCATGGATTGCTGGTAATTGTTAGGAATAAGCTACAGCTTTCTTCTATGAACCAGTGAACTGGCAGAAACAGAACTCGTGCAAATGGGTTCTGTTACCTCCTTCACCGCCGCGCCGAAGGGCAGATATGACCTAGTGCAGGTAACCAGGTTTTGGGGTGGCATTTGCTTTACTAAATTATTTTCACATGTTGACCTAGCAGTGCCTCTTGCCGTCGCCTCCTTCTCAGGGACATTGGAAGGTCCTGTGGGAACTGAGGGGACGCTTTCTTGTTGAGACTTGCTTTGCCCTGAGGCCTGGTGAACCGCTTTGTGTGGCCCTGCAGGTGTTCCTGCAGTCCTGCGTCTGGTATGGAGAGTGTGGGATCGCTTCTGGAGATAAGAGGTACAACTGCGAATATTCCGGGCCCCCGAAGCCACTGCCGAAGGACGGGTATGACCTAGTGCAGGTAAGCCCGGCTCTGGGCATTGGGGACGAATTTGATTTGGAGATCCTCTGTGATTAGATGTTACTGTGCCCTGGGGTCGAGGGGAAACACCTGAGGCTCACCTCTGACCCTGTGAGCATGTGACTGTGCAGCATGTCCCGACAGCCGGTAAGACGACTCCAGGGTTGATTGTCTGGGCTGACTTTATCCTTTCCCGTGAAGTTTCTCAATAGCAGGTCACTGTTCAGGGACTGACCCTGCTCTGGGCACCTTCTTCAAAATGGATTCGAAGTTAGCTTCGCTTGGTTCTGGATTTCAGGACCCGAATGGACTAGGCAGCCAAGTGGCTGTGGCTTCTTTGTCTTCCGTGCATCCAGTGGTTCCTTGGTTTTCCTCTGAGAGCCTGTGGACTTGGCTGCTACCAGGATTCTTGGCACACTGAGATGATAGGAAGAACTGGGAAAATCAAGTGAAAGACTAGTTTAGAGGCATAAGATCTAAAATCAACTTGACATGGTAGCAGGTATTGGAGATGGTCATTCATCCAATCAGTTAAAGGCATTGACCTGCCCTGGAGTGGCTCCCGGAATACACAGTGAAGAGCACTCTGGTCCAACGTAAATGAGAGAGCACCAGGAGAAGGTGAACTGATTAGTCAAGGGAGGAGAGGGAGCTTCCAAATAAGAAAAAAAGTTGAAATGTCCCTACTTTTGTGAATCCTTAGTTTTGAACTAGTGCAGTGATGGCCTTTTACAAGAATTCTGCAAGGACTTTGCAAAGAGGGCCTTATCCCTGTGCACGGGAAAGGGTGATAAAGCGGCTGTTTCCTGGTGATGTCTGACTGCGCTGCCCTGATGCCCACGCTTTCTCCCCTAAAGGAACTCTGTCCGGGGCTCTTCTTCGGCAACGTCAGCCTCTGCTGTGACGTGCAGCAGCTCCGGACCCTGAAAGACAACCTGCAGCTGCCCCTCCAGTTCCTGTCCAGGTAGGTTGGCCACCAGGCAAGCAGGAAAAGACTGCTCTGTCAGCAGGCCCTCCAGTGGGCTCTTCACTTCAACGTCGTTTCCTTATAACGTTGCCGGGATGCCGTAGGAGCTTAGCTCTTGAGCTGCCAGTCTCTTGTGGAACGTTGGTTTACTGTGTGTGGTTCCCTCAAAGCCATCAAGCCTGACCAAGCAGGCACATTCCCGTTCCTTTAAACGACTTTGTTTTATTAAGAAAGCAATCTTAAGACTTCCACAGTAACGAGTACTTTCTGGCAAAGTATAATAGTAATTGTCAGACTTACTTTTCTTCTATTACATACAGTCAGAATTATGCTTGGTTTTCCTCCAAGCTGTCTGCACCCCCAGGAGCCTCTGCTCTGTGACTAACCAGGTCCTTCCCCCCCAGAGCCTCTGAGGCCGGGGGTTCTGCTCAGGTCTCTGACTTAGACCTTCATCGGAGTCCCGTGTCACCCCCTTCACCTCCCCGGTTCTCTTCCTGGGTGAGGTGAAGTGCTTGAGGCCAGGCCTCTGTAGAGCTAGCCTTGGCTGTTGACAGGATTGTTCTGGTGTAGCCGGCAGGTTTTGTGGAAATCAGTGTGCCGTGCAGACTGTGCTCTGTGACCAGGGCAGTGCGAGGGTTACTGTGAGGGTCTTGTCTAAGCCACGTGCAGTTCTCACACGTGCAGAGGAAGCAGACTGGTCTTGTCACAAGGTCAGTGGGAAGGATGAATGATGAGGGACTTCTTCTCTGTGTGGAGATCACTGCAGGTGAAGGGCCCACGTCGGCGTCCACTGAGGACTCTGCTTCTTCCCAGAAGTTTAAGTTGCCAGTAAAGAGGGAAACAGTCCTTCAATCGCCCTTCCAGGGCAATTTAATTACAGATCGAAAGTTAAGATCTGATTGGGCGGCATGTCCTGTGGAGCCAGTGGAGCCAGACTGGAGCCACCACTCGGCAAAACTCGTTTCTTTAGCACCTCGTAGGGGAGGCATTATGATGGCAGTGGTCACCGCATTGTCTCCATGTTGTCAGCGGTGCCAAAGCTTTATCCATAATGGACACAACCAGAAGTCGCTATGTGGAATGCCACGCAGCAGTCAGATCGAGGATTGTGGAGATTAAATGCATAGCCTGGAGGGAGCTTGTAATTCGTGGAGCGTGACGGAAAACTGTCCCAATGGTGGTTTTCCTTTAAATGGTGCCGGTGTCCTGCCCACTGTTGTTACGGTAGCGCACAGGACTCCTTAGAGGGTCGGGATGTGTGTCTTTGCCTTACAACACCCGGGGCTGGAAGGCTGGGTCCCCCTTCCTCGAACACGTCCCGGGTGGCCGCCGCCCGGATCAGAGCGATTGTGGTTGGTTGTGCTGCAGGTCCCATGAAGCGATCCTTTCCGCAGAGAGCTGTGAGCTGCAAGGGAGAGTGCTTTTGCCCGAGAACCTCACACCAGGAGCTTCACCTTCGAGCCAGAGGCAGCTGTGGTTTTGCTCCTCCAGCCACCAATGCTGCTCGCTCCTCAGGCCACGGCGTGCACCTGGGGGGAGGCCCAGGGTCAGCTGGGGTGGGAATCCCTCCAGGAGGCTGTGAGTCCCATCGCTGTCACCGTGAGGCTCTTAAGTCCCTTTAGCTTCACGTCACGGAAAACAGGTCTCTAGATTAGAAAGGGCAGAATTCAGAGAAGCATTTTGCTGTTTGACATTGCATCCAGACAATATTGATGTAGTAATAAGGGCCGTGTTTAGAGAGGTGACTTTATTTAACACGAGGGTTTAGGTTTACAGTGGCTGGGTTTAATGTGTCCTGTGATAATTCATTTGTCATTTTAAGATAAAATGTAAATATGGTTTTCCTATTTTAAATTATCCTTTTGTTAGTCCTGTTATCTATGACATCATACAAAGTGTGGTTACTTTTTCTCTAGGTGTCCATCCTGTTTTTATAACCTGATGAACTTGTTTTGTGAGCTGACTTGTAGCCCTCGACAAAGTCAGTTTCTGAACGTTACAGAAACCGAAGAGTACGTGGATCCTGTGACCCATGAGAACAAAACAAACGTAAAGGAATTACAGTACTGTGTTGGCGAGAGTTTTGCCAATGGTAAGTGTACTTCTAATTATTCCTCTTTTATAGTTGGTATCCGGCTGTGGATCAGGTTGTTCCCTTTTGCTGTCCTGTCAGCTGTATGAAAGTGACAGTGTTTGTTTCATTGGCCATGACATGCAGGTTGTTGCTGCTTGTATCCTGACCCTCAAAACAGTCTCCTTAATGAGGAGGTTTGCTTTAACTGCTTCCTAACTGTGTGCTTCCACGTGGGGATTCTGAGTGTGTGCAAGTGTCCTTCTGTACATTCTGGGAACAGTGGAACTGTGGTTCTGTTGGACACGAACTGTGTAACTCCATGAATTACTACAAGACGGAGGAGAGGGATGGAGAGTAGAGTAGCTGGCAGAGAGGACATTTTGTCTGTGAAGAAACAGATAGCCATAAGGGAAAATAAGCAGTTATAACAATTCAGGGAGAAGGTACTCCAACAAATAGAAATAATAGCACAATCTGAAAGGCTATATGATGTTTGATGAAAATCATTGAAATGAAAGAATTTTTTAAAAATAGGTTTTTATTGATTTGAAAGAGAACATAAGGGAGAGGGAGAGAGAAACATTGATGGAGAGAAAAATATTGATTGGTTACTTCCAACAAGCACCCAACTGGGGATTGAACCTTCAATTGGACTGACCAGGAATCGAACAAGCAGCCTTTTGGTGCGTGGGATGGTGATCATCCATCTGAGCCACACTGACGAGGGCAGAAATGAAAAATTTTTGAAAGAGTAAGATTCTAGGGAAAGAGAATGAACAGATTAGAAATAGAACCAACTGGATCTATTAATGAGAAATAGTCATTTTTAAAAAAATATGTTTTATTGATTTTACACAGAGAGGAATTGAGAGGGACAGAGAAACGTCGATGAGAGAGAAACATCGATCAGCTGCCTCTTGCACACCCCCCACTGTACCTTGTGCCCGCAACCAAGGTACATTCCCTTAACCAGAATCGAACCCGGGACTCTTCAGTCTGCAGGCCGACGCTCTATCCATTGAGCCAAACCGGTCCCGGCGAGAAATAGTCATTTAAATGGGTTAAAAGATAAGCAGCAGATCAGACACAGCTAAATAATGTGCCCAAGAATGACCTAAAAAGTAAGAGAGTAAGAATTTGACAAAGTTGTTGATTAGGCCGAGACCGGTTTGGCTCAATGGATAGAGCGTCGGCTTGGGGACTGAAAGGTCCCGGATTCGATTCTGGTCCAGGGCATGTACCTTGGTTGCGGGCACATCCCCAGTAGGGGGTGTGCAAGAGGCAGCTGATTGATGACTCTCTCATCGATGTTTCTAACTCTCTATCTCTCTCCCTTCCTCTCTGTACGTAATCAATAAAATATATATTTTTTTAAAAAGTTGTTGATTAGAAGAGTACATACAACTTTAATTATAATGATCAATTAAAAATATAACAAAAAATTGCCGAAACCAGTTTGGCTCAGTGGTAAAACATTGGTCTGCGGACTGAAAGGTCCCAGGTTTGATTCCGGTCAAGGGTATGTACATTGGTTGCGGGCGCATCCCCAGTAGGGGGTGTGCAAGAAGTAGCTGGTTGATGTTTCTCTCTCATCGACATTTCTGGCTCTCTATCTCCCTTCCTCTCTATAAAAAATCAATAAAATATATTTTTAAAAATATATAACAAAAATTAATAGGAAATTAATAGGAAAAAGTCCCACTCACAAAAGCAGCAGAAAATAAGATGCCTTGGAGTAAGTTTGCCAGATGTGACATAAAGGACAGCCTGCTGATCAGAGAGCGGTCATGCTGAGCCTGCCTGTGGACATAAGAGTGCTGCTGCTAACGATGACGGGAAAGGTGGCAGCTGATAGACAAGGGAGAGAACTGACTGCTCTATCCATCTAGTTCCTGTGTTTGCACATTACACTAAGACATGTTTAGGTTAAAAATGCTAGCCTTGGAAAACTTTAGAAACAAAAAATCAGAGACACTAAGCTAATTAAGAGAATGGACAATACATTGGAGCATAGTCATAGTCAATAATGGAATACTTAAAACTGTTAAATACATGAGAGTTAATGGCAGTCATATGAATGACTGTAAAACGTTGACTGAAGATGTTACAGATTATACATGTGACTATGTCGTTTATATTAAATAGCAGTCTCTATTTATGAACGTGACACGTCACTGAAGTGCACAGGCATGCCTAGGAAAGATAAGCATCAGATTCAGGGTGTGGTTGCCTTAAGGATGGAGGATGGGAAGGGGGTGGGGGGGGTCAGAGCTTCAGTTGTATCTTTAGTCTTTTTTTTTTTTTTTTTTTTTTTTTAATGTTGAGGCAAATGTGAAGTGTAAGATGGGTATAGGGGGGTGGTGAGTAAATGGAATTGTGATTGTATTCTCCATGTTTTCTGTGTGCTTGAAATATTTACTAAAATAAAAACCTGAACACCAAATGGCAAGCGATGTAACGTAATTACAGCAGAGACGGACACAGATCACTCAGGAAGAGACACGTGGGATAAAGGAAGGAGCTCTGGCAAAAGCGGGGGCGGAAGAGAGAGAGAGAGAGAGTGAGAGAGTGTATTGGGGAGAGACTGAGCAAAGGAAAACAGCCAAGGACTTTCCAGAATGGATGAGATGACTCCCCAAACTTCGGAAAAGAAAGGAAAAGCGTAAGCCAGACAAATTAGAAAGAGATAAAATACACAGATGCCAAGTGTGTTCCTGTACACTTGCAGTGCATAATCTGAACGTAAAAGTGAGAAAGCAGTTCTGTTACAGTGTATCAGGAAGAATAAAAGACATGTAGTTTCCTGCACAGAATTCTCTGGAACCAGCTTTACTGACCGAGGGGCGCTAAGCTCTTAGTGCTCCGTCCTCGGCCTCAGCCTGCTCCTCTGTGCAGGAGGGAGGCTGCCTCTGCAGCAGCGTGAGCTCCCTGGGGGTTGGCCTTCCTGCCTGTTGTGTGTGACGGGGATCGGCCAAGTGGGTATGAGGAGCTGGGTCAGGACGCTCTCCGATGCTGCCCTTGTGCCCTGTGGCTGCTCCGTCCGCCTTCTGCCTGCGGTGCACGTGACCTCCAGGTCACATACGGGGCCTTTGTGGTCTCGCCTGTGTTGGCAGCGGCGTGTCAGCCTCTCCCCTGTCCTCCTGTAGCCATGTACAATGCCTGCAGGGACGTGGAGGCCCCCTCGAGCAACGACAAGGCCCTGGGGCTCCTGTGCGGGAAGGAGGCCGCAGCCTGCAACGCCACCAACTGGATCGAGTACATGTTCAACAAGGACAACGGCCAGGCCCCCTTCACCATCACCCCCGTCTTCTCAGGTGAGTGCACTCAGGAGCCGTCAGTGCAGCAGGAAGATGACCAGGCTTCCTGGATGTCCCTCCCGAGCGGTGGGCACCGTCCTGCGTTGGTCACCAGGGGTCACCGGGGTCGGGGAGGGGAGTGGAGGAGGAGGAAGATTTGCCTTGAGGTATTGATTGAAAGGGTAATCTGGGCTTTTATTTAAAAAATAAGAGGCCAAAGTCCTTACGGAAGCTTTTTCAGGAGCTCTGCGCTAGCGTCAGCCTTGCTCCTCGGGAAATCAGGCCTTGGAAGGCGAGGCACTCGAACCTCGGTGACAAAACCATCTGCTCAGAGTTAACGCAGCAGCGTAGAATCTTATAGGACCAGCGGCAGCACGTAGTCTGTATGCCTCTCCCGCCGTGCTGTAGAGCTCCGTGTGCTTGTCATTGGGTTTCAGGGGGATTTAACACAAATTCTGAGTGTTTTTGAATTGAGACTTTCACTCAACACCGCCCTCGCTGCAGACCTCCCGGCCCACGGGATGGAGCCAATGAACAACGCCACCAAGGGTTGTGCCGAGCCCGTGGACGAGGTCACCGGGCCCTGCAGCTGCCAGGACTGCTCGGCCATGTGCGGCCCCCGACCCCAGCCACCGCCCCCTCCCATCCCCTGGAGAATCTGGGGCCTGGACGCCATGTTCGTCATCATGTGGGCCACCTACATGGCGTTTTTGCTCATGTTTTTTGGAGCAATTTTTGCCGTGTGGTGCTATAGGTAAGCCGTTTCGTTTGTCCTTTGGAGTAAGAAGAGCAGCATGACCCACTTTGCGCTGGCAGCTCAGGCAGCAGATGTGGGCAGTTAGACAGGAACCGTTCTCTGCACTGAAGCCATCCCCTGGATGCTTCTGTCCGGCAGCAGGAAGCCATCAGGGCCTGTCCAGACACTGGGACCTTAGAAGCTGCTTTCACTGATTATTCAGAATGTTGTGTGACTAGCACCATGCAGTGACCACCATTCCTCCACAGAAAGTCTTCGGAACCTGATCTGACTCACATTTATTTCAATGTAGTACTCTTCTATAGTCCCTTCAGATATCTGCATCTTGATTTAGGACAGTTTATTTTATTTAACTTTTTATTTTAAAATAATTTTAGACTTAGGAAAAGGTACAAAGATGTGCTTTGTGTGTGTGGTCTTAATTCATACTTTATCCTTTACCCAGCTTCCCCTAATGTTGTAGCTTATATAACCCATCGTTTATAATTGTCAGAGCCCTGGAATGACAGTGAGATAATGTTAGCTAAGCTTCAGACAATATGGAAATCTACCCGTTTCCCTTTGTCAGACCCACACTGCATCCCATTGTTTCCTGTCTCCTCCAGCCTCAGTCTTTCCCTTTTATGACTCTGGCACTTTGGATGAGTCCTGGTTGGTTGTTTGTAGAATGTCCGTCCATTCGGTGTTACCGCTGTTACCTTACGGTCGGGTGAGGCTTGGGTTTCGACCAGGAACCTCACAGACCTGCTGTGGCATCTTCCTCAGCATGTCCTGCAGGGGCACGTGAGGTCAAGAGTCCCTTCCTGGCAGAGCTGCCCGGGGCGCTGGTGACATGGTGTATCCGGCTCTCCGCTGTGGAGTTACTGTCCCTCTCTCTGTTGGTGATCAGTGTCTGGGGAGACACATGGATGCTCTGCGGGCAGTCGGTGAACTTAGGGGAGAGGACCATGAGGGAGGAAGTCAGCTTTGAGCGAGAATGCCAGGAGACATCCTTTTGCTGAAATCCCTGACACTACTCACATGTTTTCCCTTTCCAGGAAGCGGTACTTTGTCTCCGAGTACACCCCCATCGATAGCAGCATAGCTTTCCCGATCAATGTCAGCGACACGGGTAGGCACCTTGTACCTGGATGGAAGGGTTGGGGTTGTGTTGGCATGGGTGTTCATGTCCCTGTGAGGACAGACTGTGCTCGGGCTGAGGACAGTTCTGAGCAAGACAGACAGGCCCTGCCATGTGCATTACAGGCCAGTCGGGCGGCAGGATGGAGCCAAGTAATTACCAGTCGCCATGGGGGACCGTGGGCGGGGACCGAGGGCAGGGACCACGGGTAGGGCAGAGCTGAGTGCTGAGCTCAGGTTGCTAGAGGCCTGGCCTTCCAGAGGCGGGTACCTGAGCATCTGTCCTCATGGGGTGTGCGTGGCAGCCATGGTGGGCAGGGAGGAAGGGTGGCCTCCAGAGCAGGTAGGACGCTGAGGGCTGGTGTTCGGGGAGGTGCAGGCAGGGCTTCCCGCCAGGTGGAGGTGTAGCTGATAATCTCCCTGCCCGGCCCTTACCAGCCCCTCTACCCCCCATCCTCCAGGGGAGGCCTCCTGCTGTGACCCGCTCGGTGCCGCCTTCGAGGGCTGCTTGAGGCGGCTCTTCACCAGGTGGGGCTCCTTCTGTGTCCGAAACCCCGGCTGTGTCATCTTCTCCTCCCTGGCCTTCATCGCCGCCTGCTCCTCAGGCCTGGCGTTCGTGCGTGTCACCACCAGCCCAGTGGACCTGTGGTCGGCCCCCAGCAGCCAGGCGCGCCTGGAGAAGGAGTACTTTGACACCCACTTTGGGCCGTTCTTCCGCACGGAGCAGCTCATCATCCAGGCGCCACACACCGACGTGCACACTTACGAGCCGTACCCCTCGGGGTCCGACGTGCCCTTCGGACCCCCTCTTGACAGAGGGATTCTGCACCAGGTACCTGCTTGGCGGACATTGGTCCCGGGGACACGTGGTCTGCCGGCCTCACCACCAGCTCTGGTGTGAGCGTGGGGCTGGCTGGAGTGGGAGAGTAAAACTCCTCATGGGAAAAGTAGCTCTAGTCCTCAAGAAGGTGCCGACAGGGGTTGAATGCATGAGAAACCCACTGCTGTATGTGCTGCCTGAGGTAGGTCTTGCTTCTTTCTAGAAGCTGAGCATTTCTGTCCTGAAGAGACTGTTCTAGTTCCCCTGGGAGCCTGGGAATCCCCGAGGCAGTTAAAGATGACACGCTAGAACCCAGAGGCCTGGGCCCGCCTGGCCTGGGCCCTGGGCAGAGCGGCCACGGCTCTGCCCTCAGCGGTGACGGTGCCACTGGCTGCAGCTGCTGAGGCGTCTGGGACAAGATCCCCTGTTCTCCCGTCGCGCTGGCCCCGGAGAATGTGCTTGTGGACACACTGCCCCACGCCTCTTGTTTAATCAGCTCAGCGGCATTAAACGTCAGGCTTCAGGGGGTGTTGGTGTGAGGAGTGTCGGAGGAGAAGGCCTGCTGGTTACTGCTGCTCACTGCCGGTCACTGCTACTCACTGCTGATCGGTGCCAGTCACTGCCAGTCACTGCTGCTCACTGTCAGTCAGTGCCAGTCACTGCTAGTCATTGCTGGTCAGTGCTGGTCATTGCTGCTCACTGCTGCTCACTGCTGGTCAGTGCCGGTCATTTCTGCTCACTTCTGCTCACTGCCGGTCACTGCTGATCAGTGCCGGTCACTGCTGCTCACTCCTGGTCACTGCTGCTCACTGCTGATCAGTGCCAGTCACTGCTGCTCACGCCTGGTCACTGCCGCTCACTGCCGGTCACTGCTGCTCACTGCTGGTCAGTGCTGGTCATTGCTGCTCACTCCCGGTCACTGCTGGTCAGTGCCGGTCACTGCTGCTCACTCCCGGTCACTGCTGGTCAGTGCCGGTCACTGCTGCTCACTGCCATTCACTGCCGCTCACTCCTGGTCACTGCTGCTCACTGCTGGTCAGTGCCGGTCATTGCTGCTCACTCCCGGTCACTGCCAGTCACTTCTGGTCAGTGCCGGTCACTGCTGGTCACTGTTGATCAGTGCCGGTCACTGCTGCTCACTGCCGTTCACTGCTGCTCACTCCCGGTCACTGCCAGTCACTGCTGGTCAGTGCCGGTCACTGCTGCTCACTGCCGGTCACTGCTGCTCACTGCCATTCACTGCCGCTCACTCCTGGTCACTGCTGCTCACTGCCGTTCACTGCTGCTCACTCCCGGTCACTGCCAGTCACTGCTGGTCAGTGCCGGTCACTGCTGCTCACTGCCGCTCACTGCCAGTCACTGCTGCTCACTGCCGGTCACTGCCAGTCACTGCCAGTCATTGCTGGCCACTGCTGGAGAAGGATGCAAGGGATGAGGCTCATGTGTTCTGCCTGGTGATGGTGTTGCCTCCCCATCTCTCTGGACGCCTTGATACAGGGTTCCCATCCCAGTTTGCCATCTTGGGTGTCATCAGATGCCCCACCACAGTGTGCCCTCGTCCTCTGCTCCGTCTTGGGAAGGGTTTCCCCCAGGACTCTATCTTCTGACCTCTCTGCAGCAGGCGTGAGTCAGACCCTGAGAGCACTCTGACACGTTTCCGGATTTGTATCTTGTTTCAGGTTCTTGACTTACAAACAGCCATTGAACACATCACTGCCTCTTACAACAACGAGACTGTGACCCTTCAGGACATTTGCTTGGCCCCGCTCTCTCCGTATAACAAGAACTGCACCATTCTGAGCGTGCTGAACTACTTCCAGAACAGCCACTCGATGCTGGACCACGAGATAGGGGACGACTTCTACACCTACGCAGATTACCACACGCACCTGCTGTACTGCGTCCGGTACGTGGCAGGCCGCTCGCTCCTCCCCCCTGACACCTGAGCACCTGGTGCTGCTGCCCCCGCACGGGCCTGGAGCCTGGGTGAGCACAGGGGCAGATGCCCCAGCAGAGGGGCAGAGGCAGGTGTGCAGAGGAGAGCCAGGCGGGCAGGCGGGCAGGCGGGCGGCCGGCTTTCGGAGTGGGCCTGCTCAGAGGGAGAGGAAGGGGGAGCCTGTGAACTCGGAGGAAAAGAGTCCATGGTGGACGGAGCAGCGAATCCAGGCCCGGGTGAGCATCTGTGTCATCAAGGAGCAGCAGGTGCCTCTGCCGAAGCTCGTGTCTGGACTGATGACACGTGGCCCCATCTGTCACACAACCACACACCAACGTCAGCGCTGCAGTGCTTCCTTATCGTTCACATGCGTTTAGGTCTGGACAGGAATGGTCCGAACCAGGCAGCGTCCCCTTCCCAAGGGCGGCCGGCGGGGCCAGGTTTAGATTCGGGCAGCAAGCTGCTCCCGGCAGAGGCGTGTCTGGCTGGCCGTGTTCCTCACTCTGCAGTCAGGGAGGCTGTGCTGGGCGGCCTGCCCTGTGGCCTGGCCTGGCCTGGCCATACCTGTTCAGCCAGTCAGACGTCACCAGAGCTGCTCTCCCCCAGGGGAGGTGCTCTTGGCCACCTTGGCAGGCGCCACGTCTCAGTAGAGCACTCTGACTCCGCGCCTGGAGTGGTGACTTAAGTTCTGTCCGTTCGTGTTCCTCAGTGTAGCCTGATCCACAGTCAGGGGCATAGTGGTCAGGTCTCGGGTGGCCGGGGGGCTGGTTCTAACGGGCTGTCTCCTCGCAGGGCCCCTGCCTCGCTGAATGACACCAGCCTGCTGCACGACCCCTGCCTGGGGACGTTTGGGGGGCCCGTGTTCCCGTGGCTGGTGCTGGGAGGCTATGACGGTGAGTGAGGAGAGTGGACCTGGCCTTTGGTTGACAGTCTGGTGGAAGTCATAAGCCTTTACACATTGAGCCCTGGTGTTAATTTCCTGTTTCTTAAGTCCCAAATGCAGTATTTCCTATGGGTTTGGGTTTTTCTGGATGTAGGAAAGGTGGACAGTGTTAGCTGATTTTTAGGTCACACTTTAGGAAGCTGTGAAAAGTGAAGGGTGTGTCCCCGGAATAATGTAATTGCAAACCTCAAACCACATGCAGTGCAGCTTTAGGGCGCTCCCAAAACCCTCGGAGCTCACGTTAGGACCCCACAGGATTGGGGGCCTCAGGCTGAGACCCCGGGGAACGGGAAGAGACGCCGTGGAAGGTGGAGACCCAGAAGTTGGCTAGGAACTCGGACACGTTTAAGGAGGGAGGAGCGGTTAGTCGGCTTGCTCTTTGCTGGCCCCTAGCCCCTGAAGATGGGTGGCACGGTCGTGGGTGCTGACTCACATGGCGGCTCTGGACCTGGAGCCTAATGATGGCGACTCCGGGGTTTCTCCGCCCCAGTGCAGAGGCGGGCTGTTTCCTCGGCAGCTGTGCTGTGTGTAAGCCCCGCTCTGCCCATGAGAAAGTGCCACTTCTGTGGTGCGGACAATGTGGCACCAGCTCGCTCGTCAGCCGTCAGATTAAATTTGAACTCCACCTTATTCCTTCCACCAAAGTAAATTCCAGAGGGACCCCAGATTGAAATGTAAGAAGGGAAACTATTAAAGGACTAGAGGAAAATACATGAGGACATTTTAAGAACAATTTTTAAATGGAGAAGGCATTTCTAGCAAGGTAAATTTCAAAGCCACCACAGGAATCACTGATGGATTTGACTGCATGAGAACTCTAAATTCTTACATGGAGAACAAACGTCATAAGATTTTAAACAATAAAAGCAATAAACCGGAGAAAAGTATATGTAATAGCATTTCTTTCACATATAGAGCTCTTGTGAAAAAGGAAAGTAGGGAAGCCTTATGAACGTTAACAAGAGAAGGAACAGAAATGGCTTACATTCCAGAGGGGAGCGCTCCCCCACTCCTAGGCAGCGACATGCAGCCCTCACTCCTCCTGTCTCGCAGGTGAGCGAGCGAGGCCGTGGAGCTCGGAGCTCAGAGCTCGACGGGTCAGGAATGCAAACTGTGCCTAGACTACAAACTCCAGGGAAAGGCAGGGTCTAATCTCCTGTTCACTGATGTACCCATGGTACTTACGTCCTGCCAAGCACAAAAGTGGTCTCAGTAAATACTTCGTTGAGTGAAAAATAGGATGGCAATTTTGGTGGGCAATGTGGGAGAATCAGTCAAAATTAGAAATGCACAAACGTTTTGATTCGGTGATTATAAGAACTGACTACTCATATGTACTTTGCATATTAAAAATATAAGGCTAGCCGAAACTGGTTTGGCTCAGTGATAGAGTGTTGGTCTGTGGACTGAAAGGTCCCGGGTTGGATTCTAGACAAGGGCATGTACCCTGTTTCCCCCAAAATAAGACAGTGTCTTATATTAATTTTTGCTCCCAAAGATGTGCTAGGTCTTATTTTCAGGGAATGTCTTATTTTTCCATGAAGAAGAATACGGTACACATTTATTGTTAAATGAAAATAAAGGAATTTATTACCTGTATACGGTACGATAGTATGGTAGTTGTCAACACAAACCAGACAAACTGTGAATTCTACAGTATCAAGAATTTACTCATTTATTCAATGACAATCATGTCATCATTTTCTGGAACATCATCATAATCCAATTCCTGAATTTCCTGGTGAATTTCTTGTGACTCCATTTCTTTCAGAATCAGTGGACCAAATCTCTCATGTTTAGCCTAGGGGGGCCTTATTTTTGGGGGGATCCCTTATATTTCACTCAGAAGAAAACCTGTAAATAGGTCTTATTTTTGGAGGATGTCTTATTTTGGGGGAAACATGGTATCTTGGTTGCAGGCACATTCCTGGTAGGGGGTGTGCAAGAGGCAGCTGGTTGATGTTTCTCTCTCATCGACGTTTGTAACTCTCTATCTCTCTCCCTCCCTCTCTATAAAAAAAAAAAATCAATAAAATATTAAAAAAATATATATATATATGGCTAGTCCTTGTAGTAACTTTGTTGATGATTTTAAAAACTGTTAAAATATCCATCAGTGGGAAATGGGTTAAATTATACTAAAAAATACTATATGACAGAAAGAAGAATAAGGAAGCTCTCTCTGTACTAAAGGAAACAGCCCCAAGATGCGCATTTAAAAGCATAATGTGCAGAGTGGTGCGAGGCTGCTGTAAAAGGAGCAGGAGGGGAGGGTGTGTCTGCCTGTCCTCTCTGGAGTGTCTCTGGCAGGAGACCCAGGGGGGCAGGGCCAAGGGAGCGCGAGCAGCGGAGGGAGAGGGATGCTCACTGAGCACGTGCGCTCTGTCGGAAATGTGCGCTGCGGAATAAAATAAAAAGGCATCTTCCCAAATGGCAGTCTGTGCCTGCTCCCGCGAGAGCCGTTTTATTTGTTCTCCACCCACGCAGGCACCATTTCAGGAACTTCTGTTCCGAGAGCGCAGGGTGCAGTCTGCAGCCGGGAGAAGTCGCCAGCTGTCCTCTCACCGCCCCTTGCACTTACCCACTCTTCCGCCAGCTTGTAACCTTGTCGATGCCCCATTTTTCCTTTTAGGTCAGAACTACAATAACGCCACCGCCCTGGTGATGACCTTTCCTGTAAATAACTACTACAACGACACGGAGAAGCTGGAGCGGGCCCAGGCCTGGGAAAGAGAGTGAGTGCGCGCAGGGCTTGTGGGAGGCGGGCCCCGGCAGAGACCACCTAGGCCTCCTCCACTACACTAACCGCACCCGGGGGAGTGCTGTCTTCCCACTCATTACAGCGAGAGCCGGGAGTACATGTACCCGCAGCATGGTGTGAACCGAACTTCCTCCGTCCCGTTCTAACAGCACAGGCGGGGAGGGCTGGGTGAGCGTTACCAGGAAGGGACACGGACCGTAGAGAACGTCGCAGTCATGGAGGACAGGCGATAAGTGCATCAGATGCACTAAATAAAACACTCGATCAGCACGTGGAAGTCAGCAGAGGCTGCCGTGCTGCCCGTGCCCAGAAAGCCGTCCAGGACGGTGTCCCTGTGTCTGCAGCCTCCACGACGGAGCGACACGAGGGGGCCGGGCTGTGAGTCACTCCACTCTCATCCAGTGCGTTCTTCTAAGGAACCGCTTAGTGAGACGTGATCCATACTCCATGCGTCTCACTCCCTTCGTGAGAGCACTCAGTTCAGGAGCTCTCATAGTCACAGGTGGCATGCAGCCATCGTCACGGCCAGAGGAGGACGCTCTTTACTTCAGAATGCAGCCCCGCACCTTTAGCAACCACCCCCTACCCTCCCAGCCTGTGCAGCCACTAATTACTTCTGTCTCCATGCATTCTCCTATCCTGGACTTATGCTTATGCGAATGGAATCATATGTGTGATATTCTGTGTCTGGCATCTTCCTGTAGCAAAATGTGGTCCAGGTTGTGGCACGGGCCCGTCCTTCTTTCCTTCCTGAGGCCAGTGACGGTCCATCCTGTGGACATAGCGGGCTCTGGTATCCATTCACCCGCAGAGGCAGGCGGGCGGTTGCTGCCTTGCGACTGTTGTGAATAATGTTGCTGTAGACATTTGCACACCTGTTTCTGTGGGGACTTTTATTTCTCTTGGGTGTGACTGCGATTAGGATGGGTGGGTCACAGGGTTACTCTTTGAGGAACTGCCAGGCAGTTTTCCAAAGTGACCGCACCGTTTTTGCATTCCCACGCCAGTGTGTGGCAGTTTCAAGTTCCCCCTGCTTGTCAGCACCTGCCTCGCTGACTGGATGTGGCGGGAGGTCTCACTGCAGCTTTGGCATGGTTTCCTGGTGACAGATGAATTCCAGCACCTCTTCACGCTCTCACTGCCATCCGCATTGCCGCCCAGAGAGCTGTGTACTCGTGTTCTTTATCCTCTTTTAGGTTGTATTTTTATTATTGAAGTGTAAGAATTCTTATGTAGTCTACAAGTCCCTTATCAGATACATGATTTCCAAGTGTCGTCTCTCATTTTTTTTATTTTTTTATTTTATTTTATTGATTTTGTACAGAGAGGAAGGGAGAGAGATAGAGAGCTAGAAACATCGATGAGAGAGAGTTATCGATCAGCTGCCTCTTGCACACCCCCCTACCGGGGATATGCCTGCAACCAAGGTACATGCCCTTGACCGGAATCGAACCCAGGTCCCTTCAGTCCCCAAGCCGACGCTCTATCCATTGAGCCAAATCTGTCTCGACTCATTTTTTTTTTTTCTTTCTTGGTGGTGTCCTCTGAGATACAACAGTTTTTAACTTTGATGAAGTCCAATTTATCCTTTTTTCTTTTTTTTTCTTTTGTTGCTCCTACTTTCTGTGTCATGGCTAGGAAATCTGATCCCAGGACGTGGAGATTTATGTCTGTGCTTTTCCCAGAGTTTTATTGTTTTAGCTCTCACATTAGGTCTTTAGACCTTTTGAGTTCATTTTTGGATATGATGTGAGGTAAAGGTTCAACATTCTCTTGCATATGGCTATCCAGTTGTCCCAGACCATTTGCTGAAAAAGTTACTCTTTTCTGCTGTTTGCTTCTCTGTTGAAAGGGAAGTGGACTCTGGTTCTGCTCCTTCACTCTGAATGTGTAGCCTGTTCACACTCCTGTTCACTCTTGTTTTGTGATGAGTTTGAAGTCAGGACATGCAGACCCTCCGGTTTGTTCCTGAAATAGCAGGTTTAGCTCTCCTGGGACCTACGGTTCCCTGGGAAATTTAGAATCAACTTACCATCTTGCAAAGGAGTCAGGCAAGGCTCTGCTAGGGCCGCTTTGACCTGTAGATCAGCTTTTAAATTCTACTTCACGAGCGTGTATCTTCATCACAGTGCACACTACTTCACTTAGAAATCTTTTTAGTAAAAAAGAATGAGAACAGGAACTGATTTCCGAACTTGTTCCAAACCGATTTAAATGGCAGAAAACTCAGCATGTCTGGCACTGACCCCCTCCGGTCTCCAGCAGAGAAGATCTGAATGCAAATAAGGCTCCCTAAGCGTGGCTTTTGTTACAGAAGCTGGGAGAGCACTGGCTCTCAGTGTCCCCATCTGCCAGGGCTCAGTCCTCAGGGCTCACAGGAATCAGCCCACAAGTGTGAGCATAAGTGGAACAACACGTCACTCTCTCCTTTCCTCTCTGAAAAAGTTAACAAATAAAAATAAAAAAACTTTTTTTAAAAATTAGGAAGAATCCCTCACTTTGCTTTCACTCAGTTTTAACTAAAAATATAAAATTCTTTGTACTTTTTAGGTTTATTAATTTTGTGAAAAACTACAAGAATCCAAATCTCACCATTTCCTTCGTTGCTGAGCGAAGTATCGAAGATGAACTGAACCGTGAGAGCAACAGTGACATCGTCACCGTGGTGACGAGCTATGCCGTCATGTTTCTGTACATTTCCTTGGCCCTGGGGCACATCCGGAGCTGCAGCAGGCTCCTGGTGAGGGCCGTGTGTGCGGGGTGTGGGTGTCTGTGTTGTTGGGAGTGGAGGGTGCAACCTGGGCCCTCCTTGCCTCTAGTTAATCTTAATTGATCATATTCAAACTTGCCTCACATTCCCCTGTGCTTTTTTAGTTGTAGGTAACATCCCTTATTCCCTGCATTTATTTTCCTCAGTTCCAACTTCTTGGTTTATCTTCAACTTAGAATTTATTTCACATGGTCCAAGTTTTTCTGATTTGTCTACTTATCATCTAGGAATGGAAGCTCATTATATAACTTTTTTTTTAAAGACTTTCTCTCAATTTGGCATTTTTTTTAAAAAAATATATTTTACTGATTTTTTTACAGAGAGGAAGAGAGAGGGATAGAGAGTTAGAAACATTGATGAGAGAGAATCATCGATCAGCTGCTTCTTGCACACCCCCTACTGGGGATGTGCCCACAACCAAGGTACATGCTCTTGACCGGAATCGAAACTGGGACCTTTCAGTTCGCAGGCCGATGCTCTATCCACTGAGCCAAACCGGTTTTGGTTTATATAACTTCTTTAGGAAGACCTAGATAGTTTTTCTTATTTTTCCTCAAACTGGGAGTTGAGCTGTTAGCTCCAGATGGGCCGTCCCGTGTGGCAGGGGGAGACAGGCCTGGAGTGGCAGGCAGGACTGGGCACTGACGGCCGGCGTGTCTGTGTTGCATCTCAGGTGGATTCCAAGGTCTCCCTCGGCATCGCAGGCATCTTGATCGTGCTGAGCTCGGTGGCCTGCTCGCTGGGCATCTTCAGCTACGCCGGGGTCCCCCTCACCCTCATTGTGATCGAGGTCATCCCCTTCCTGGTGCTGGCCGTCGGGGTGGACAACATCTTCATCCTGGTCCAGACCTACCAGGTGCGTCCCACGTCCCGCAGCCTGGCAGCTGACGGGCGAGCTCCTTGAGCACTCGCCCCCTCTGGTTGATGTGATAACGTGAGAATCTGACTTCAAACATGTTCCGTACAGAGGGTCCCAAAAAATGTACACGTCCACCCTTTAACAGCTGATTCTGTGACGTTTGAAAACAGTGAATTTTTAAAAACCCTGTCTTTATCGAAAATGTGTGACACATTTTTGGGGACATCTTCTACACATGCAAAAAGGGCTAATGGCTGTGGAGAATATTTTGGGTACAAGTGCTATGAGAATGGTTCTCCGCATAGTGTAGCGGGAAAGATTGTCAGAGGTGCCACTCACAGGACTGCCGGTGGGCACAGGACCTGCCAGGGCAGAAAACCGTCTTCATCACTGTTCTCACCCGGCCCCGCCCGCGTCCGTCGCCTTCTGTGCGTGGGGCTCAGTGGCCCACAAGTGGCACATTATTTCCTGATCTGCAGCCTGCAGCCTGCACCCCATGTATTTTTCTCAAAAGTGACCCGGCCTTTGCTGGAGCCTCGCCTGTCACCCAGCCCAGGGGCCAGGAACACCCTGAATGAATAGCCAGAGACCTCCGGGTCCCCCGCCAAGGACGACCTTCAATCCGTAGATGCCACTGACCATTTTCCTTACTGTTAACAAGCAGAGAGGTGGCGTTGTGCCTGAGAAACATTCATGTTGCGTGCTTAATATTTTTAAAGAGAGACGAACGTCTTGAAGGAGAGACCCTGGACCAGCAGTTGGGCCGGGTCCTGGGAGACGTGGCCCCCAGCATGTTCCTGTCGTCCTTCTCCGAGACGGTGGCCTTCTTCTTGGGTAAGCGCGCTCGAGCGATGCGCTGCTTAGGCAGTGTGCTGCAGGAGGGGCCTGTGTGAGTGCCGCCGCTCTTCCTGCTGAGCTGCACTGGACTGGGAGGTGCCCTCGCGGACGCGGGAGAGTGTGGGGCAGGTCCTGGTGTCAGTTAGCGTCTTCCTCTGCAGTCTTCAGGCAGTGTCTGTCTCTGGGTCCCGGTGCCTGGCCCCCCGCCTTTCCCCCTGTTTGGCACCCACAGCAGATGTTGGTATTTGAAAATAGCTTCTGGCACAGCCACAGGCTCCTCAGAACAGCCCTCCAGCAGCCTGGAACCACAGGCAGCAGCTGTACGTTCTCTGGGCAGTCACCCTGTGCACGCCGCTCACGGGACCAGCGTGGTGACTAGCTGGGTTCTCAGGTCTTTCCTCAGCCCAAGGAGCTGGAACAGAACCAGCACTTTCATAGTCCTTCCTTCTGGGGAAATCAGCCTGTCCTGGGCCGAGTCTCTGCCTGCCTCTGGCGTGTAGTGAGAAAACCAGCTCATCCTCTGGAGAGGAGGCCAGTCAGGCTCGCCCAGAAGTCAGGGAAGACACAGCCCACACATGCCTGTGGGCCGCCAGGTCTTCCCAGGCCGAGCAGGAGCCTCGCCGGGCAGCCTCTCAGTTCGGACACACCAGCTGTTGTTTGCGTTCCCATGGAGCCCTGCGGCCTGAGTACTGCGCCCTGCGGCCTGCGATCCTCTCATGGTGCAGGTGCAAAGCAGCTAGTTCCCCTCTCACCTCGAGGTTGGCCAAGAAGCCCAGGCGAGTGGAAGGGTAGTAGCCGCTGCTGCACCTCAGGCGGATGCTGGGGGATGTGCTGGGGGCACAGAGCCTGTCGGAGCCCACGTCCTGTCCTGCCCAGTGTCTGGCCTGGTGCTGCAGTCCAGGCTTTCCTCAGCAGCACTGGGAAGCAGACTCCCTTTGTTAAACGTGGGCTCCTCATTTATGTTCAAGCTTTAAACGGTGAGATGAGTTCACAGGGTGGACCACGTGGCCCAGAGCTGCCAGCTTTCAGTGGGTGTCGGTGGGCTGCAACATGCCCTGAGCCCCCACCATGTCCCCCAGGCATGGGGGGTCTGAGCCAGCTTGGGCGTGGAGCTCCTCCTGTGGCTATGAATACACTGAACGGCTGATGGTGAAACAGCAGATGGAACGTGTCCCTCTCACAGGGGAGGGAGGGTACGTAGAGGGTCCGGTGGTTCTCAGTTTCAATGTGCATACATTTGCTCAGAGAGCCTATTAAATACACGGGAGTTGGGTTGAAGTCCCACTGTCTTGGTTAAGCAGGATGGGGCCGAGCCCAGGAACCTACTTTTAACTCCCAGGTGGTTCTGATGCTGACAGCATCTTGAACAACTCCAGGCTTACAGCTTCTTCTCATCACTGGGGCACCCTCCAGAGACGCTGCACCCTTTGGGGGTGGGTGGAGGGGAGCAGCTCCTAGGGTTCTATGGCCCCAGGAGTGGGTGACGCGCTAGCACCCTCTGTTGTGAGTGGCAGTGACGGCCCCTCCCTCCACCACCGCCCGCAGGAGCCCTGTCAGTGATGCCCGCTGTGCACACCTTCTCGCTGTTTGCCGGGATGGCCGTCCTCATTGACTTCCTGCTCCAGATCACCTGCTTCGTGAGTCTCCTGGGGTTGGATGCTAAGCGTCAGGAGGTGAGTTGTTACCAGATTGCAGGCTGCTTCACCTGCATCAGGAGTCTGAAGCGCTGGAGGGCATGACCTTTGCTCCTTTCCTCCCTCAGAACAACCGGCTGGACATCCTGTGCTGTGTCCGCGGCGAGGATGATGCCGGCCCCCAGGCCTCCGAGAGCTGTTTGTTCCGCTTCTTCCGAGACGCCTACTCCCCCCTGCTGCTCACGGCCTGGATGCGGCCGATCGTGGTGGGTCTCCTTCCTATTCTCTCCCGGCACAGACTGTCCCGTGCCTCCCGAGAACCACACGCTTGGGGCTCTGACAGCTGTCAGCTGCATGTGCAGAACAAATACGCACTAGTAAATGTTTACTTTTCATTTTTTTAAATATATTTTTTATCAGTTTCATAGAGGAAGGGAGAAGGAAAGAGAGAAACATCAAGAAACAAACATCAATCGGCTGCCTCCTGCACACCCCCTCGTGAGGATCGAGCCTGCAACATGGGCATGTGCCCTGACTGGGAATCGAACCCTGACCTCCTGGTTCATAGGTCGATGCTCAACCGCTGAGCCGTGCTGGCCAGGCCATAGTGTTTTTAGCTGTGTTTTTTTTTTGCAGTCAATGTAAGGGAGAGCTTTTGGGTTTTTATATTGGAATAATTACCAATTAAGTGGCAAGGAGAGGGGCCCAGATTCCCTTCGCCCAGTTCCTCCTGTCTCACGTAGTTGTAGTTCAGTCTCAAAACCAGGACTCGACTGGACGTGGAGGGCGGGTCTGGTTCTTGTCCTTTTATCCCACGTGAAGGTTCATGTACCTGCCACACAGTGAAAATCCGTGACCAGGGGTCTCCCATGCTGCCCCTAAGTGTCTCCCTCCCCTTCCCCCACAGCACCTCGATTTCTGGTCCTTGCGACCAGCAGAGCTTTTTATCGTTTCTGTATGCTTTGTGGCCCCAACTACTCTCTGTCGCTGCTCCACTAGGAGAACATTAGCTCCCTGTAAGAGCAGCCGTGGCATCCTGAGCACTAGTGCCAGGTGCTGGCCAATGTCTGGGTCATGCTTAGATTCTCCTCATTTAATCCACAAAACTGGATGGCGTTAGAGTCCTAGTTTCCCTGGTTTGCTAACAGAGGCTCAGTGCCTCCTGTGTCCCCTGTGTGCACAGAGCGGCTGCCCGTGAGTCAGGTGGTCCGACTCTAGGCACCCTGAACTCGGCCACTCCCCGTACTCGGTGTGTTGGCTGTGCCATTCAAGCTTGCTGTCCAGTGTAGGAAGGCCTGTGTTCTGTGTGCTGAGGCGTGCTCAGCTCCTTGTGACCAGCAGTGCTGTCTGTAACCCACCCCATTCCAGATGGCGGTGTTCGTGGGCATTCTCTCCTTCAGCATCGCCGTCCTGAACAAGGTGGAAATTGGATTGGATCAGTCTCTTTCGATGCCAGAAGTAAGATGCCTTTTATTCTAGCTTACTCAGCCCGGGGTGAATACACTTTCCAAACACGCACACAGAAGTTTCAGGTTAATGCCTGCTGTGCCTACAATTGCTGATGGGGCCTCCTCAGCTGCCACAGGCTCTGTCAGTGGGGCCTGGCCCTCTGAGCTCAGACAGTGCTGGGCACAGCCCAGTGCGAGCAGCCAGACTGACCCTGTGAGGCGCCCTCCTGACCTTGGGACCTATGGAGAGCACGGAGCTCGGGAGGATGGGAATGGGACCAGCTGTGCAGGGAGTCCTGGCTGGGCGGTGGCGTCTCGGCCAGGAATCTCCACGCCCCTGGCCTTCGTCACCTCACTCCATCAGACACCTCAGCGTACCCACCTCCATCCTGCCGCCTCTTCTTTCAGGACTCCTACGTGACGGACTATTTCAGGTCCCTCAGCCAGTTCCTGCACGCGGGCCCGCCCGTCTACTTCGTGGTGGAGGAGGGGCTGGACTACCGGTCCCTGCAGGGGCAGAACCTGGTGTGCGGGGGCATGGGCTGCAACAATGACTCGCTGGTGCAGCAGCTGTTCGACGTGGCCGAGCTGGACGCCTAGTCAGTACCCGCCCCGGGCTGCCTGTCTGAAAGTTCTCCTGAAAGGAGGCTTTCTGGGGAATTAGGTTCAGAATGCATGCTGAAGTGAGCCTTCCCCGAGCAAAGCCTTTCGAGGACCAGCGTGCCCCTGGGCGCAGGCTCCCTGGAGGGCAGTGTCCTTTCGCCCGGGGCAGCATCACTGAGCGCAGGAAGGACGTGGGGGTCAGAGCAGGGCCGGGCTGGGCTCCCGGGCGGGCGGTCACACTCCTCTCCCTGCAGCACCCGGATCGGCTTCGCGCCTTCGTCCTGGATTGACGACTACTTCGACTGGGTCAAGCCGCAGTCCTCGTGCTGCCGCGTCCACAGCGGCTCCGGGCGGTTCTGCAACGCCTCCGGTACGTCGCCCCGAGTCCGTCCTGCTGTTCTGAAAAGCGTGCTGACGGGAAAACCGCCCGGCACTCACCTCCGTTCATGCTACTGCCCGCTTGCACCGGGTCTCCTCCCCTCCTCAGTCTCTCGCTCTCCAGTGTGGCCTCAGCCTGCAACCACCCCCAACCCCCACCCCCACCCGGGGCTGCAGGCTGAGCCAGGCCTGAGGAGCTCTGGGTTTTGAGTTGGGGTTTCTGTCTTTTCCGACAACAGCGATTGCCTCCTGCTGAGTATTGGCCATCGCTGCTCACGGGCTTTCCTGTTAGCGCTCGGTGGCTGCCTTGTGGTCGCTGAGAGTTGAGGTCGTCGCAGAGTTTCCCTGATAAACACACAGGAGCCCTGGCTCTGTGATACCCTGAGGCCGTCCTTCACGCAGGGAAGGACGTGTTATAGCTAAGACGGAGGTGGCACCTCAGTCAAATGCCCCAACTGGGAAGCTCACGGGAGCTTGAGCTTTTGGAAAAGGAAAAGGATTCAGGAAAAGATTCTCCCAAATGTTTAAAGTGAAATCTGGAGACCCATTCTCTTCTCCTTGGCCCCTCCCACGTTTCTGCTAGTGACCGACCCTGGCTGCATCCGCTGCAGGCCTCTGACTCCCGAGGGCAAACAGCGGCCCCAAGGGGAAGACTTCATGAAGTTCCTGCCCATGTTCCTCTCCGACAACCCGAACCCCAAGTGTGGCAAAGGGTAAGTGAGCCCTTGGATGTGCACCCCCCTGTTTGAGAGGCCTTCTTTCCACCCCTCCTCACCTGTTCCTGACCTCTGGCATCCTGGCGGGGCACTTGCTCCCCGGGCATCTCTGCTCGGCCCTCCCGCTGGTCCATGGGGGGAGGGGAGTGTCTGTTCCGTGTCCGTGGGCACAGGAGCCACGTCTGCTCCGGTGAGGTCATCCTAGGCTCAGGCTTAGATGGTTTGGCCCCACTGTGCTGCTCCCAGCCTGTGCTTGCAGCCAGGCCACAGTCCCCACAGAAGCGGAACATCTGGCCTGGAGATGGGGGTCATGGGGGAGCGGGAGGGCAGCTTGTAAGCTTTCATGGGAGAGGATGCCTGTCAGGTAGGCCTGGGCGTCCTGTTTTCTCCTAGGAATACCAGATTTGTCCCGAGTCCCCTCATACATTAGTCACGGAGAATGTCTGTTTCGGGGCCTGTGCTGGCTCTGTGGGAATGAAGTAGAAATGGGCCTTGCATTTGGGTCTGTGTGCAGGTTGAGTCTGTGTCCACACAGAATGGCCCTGTGAGCTCGGCCTGCACGAAGCAGTGGCCACCACCTCTGTGCGGTGTCGTGCCCGGCACCTCCACCGTAGCTCCCCAGCTTGCCGTGCGGCCGTGAGTCAGCGGCCGTGTGCCCATCCGTGGAGATGATACTGTGCCCAAAGGCAGGGACTCTGCCGAGAGCTCCTGGCCGTGATGGCGAGGCCTCTCTGCAGGCCGACGCCAGGTGGCCTCCCTCCACGGCCCGCCTTCCCCACTTCCCGTTTCACATCCTTGGGAGCAGACGCATAGGGAAACGCATTGGCTTTGAGCAGAGCCAGAGGAGAAGCAGGAGCAGCTGCGCACCAACCAGCCAGAGTGGGGAGAAGCCAGAGGGAGGCAGGAGCCGGCCCTTCAGCGCCCCCACGCGGGCTGTCCTGTTGCTGAGGCAGAGCCAGCCAGCCCTGTGCCAGTCGGGCCGGGGGCTCTCTTGTGCCTGCGCGGACGCTGCGATGTGCGGGGCGAGGTCCTTCTGATTCCACTGTCTTCTCTCAGGGGCCATGCTGCCTACGGGTCGGCTGTTAACATCCTGGGCAATGACACCGGTGTGGGTGCCACCTACTTCATGACCTACCACACGGTGCTCCAGACCTCTGCTGACTTCATCGACGCCATGAGAAAGGCCCGGCTCATTGCTGCTAACATCACCCAGACCATGAGCCAGGGAGGAAGCAACCATCGCGTGTTCCCATACAGGTGGGTGTGGCTTGCACACATGGGTGTCCTAGGGACAGCCCTCACCTGTCCGGCAGGGGACGGCGCTGACCTGTATGGCAGGGGACAGATGTTTTTCTGGGACAAGTTCTCAGAAGGGACGTCCTAATTCCTGGGAAGAGCTATGACCTTGGTAGAAAATCACTTCTCCTCCAGCCCTGCACAGGCCCCATTGACCTGAGGTAATTCTTGGGATACAGCAGCACTTGTTTTTTCAAAATACCCCGGAATAGTCTTTATAAACCTACAAAGCAGGGTAGGCTGGAATTATGAATTAAAACTTTATGTAAGACAGATATAGGGTCATTGTTAGGCCTTGAGGGCAGAGGTCATCGCAGGCCCACTGTGCTGCTGTCCTGCTATCCCTGGGGTGTTCTGCACGGCTCTGCTGCCTGCCCCTGGGTGACATGGCAGCAGGAGGGGTGGAGCTTCCAGGGAGGACGGCTGACGGTCTCCCCTGCCCCCCAGTGTGTTCTACGTCTTCTACGAGCAGTACCTGACTATCATAGAGGACACCGTCTTCAACCTCTGCGTGTCCCTGGGGGCCATCTTCCTGGTGACGGTGGTGCTGCTGGGCTGCGAGCTGTGGTCTGCAGTGATCATGTGCGTCACCATCGCCATGATCCTGGTCAATATGTTTGGCGTCATGTGGCTGTGGGGCATCAGCCTGAACGCGGTCTCCCTGGTCAACTTGGTCATGGTGAGTCCTGGTCACTTCCTGGGACCCGTTTCTGGGAGAGACGGCCCAGCTCTCATCTCCCTTTATTATTCTGTGGGGTTTGCAAAACCATGCAGCCTAATGACAGCAACAAGGTCCCTTTTTATTTAGAAATGTTGCCCCCTTCCTGGTGGAATTCTCTGGCCAGTACCTTTCCTTCCCACAATTAATAAGTCTTGATGCTGGGAGCGTCCAAGCAGGTGCTAACAGGAAGCAGCAGCAGTCCCCTGCGTCAGGCAGAGTGGCCTGTGCGAGCGTGGGGGTGCCCGCGTCCCCTCAGACAAGCAGACATGCTGTCTGATCGGGTGCTGGGCGCCTCCCCGAAGGCCCCCAGTGCCCAGTGCATCCAGGTGGTGTCACAGGGCTTCCCGGGGCTTGTCCACGCAGATTCTTAGGGCCCTCCCCCAGGGTGCCCTGGGCAGGAGTGGCTGCCTGGATTCGGGTTGTAAAGATGCACTTCATTGCAGAGCTGCGGCATCTCGGTGGAGTTCTGCGCCCACATCACCAGGGCCTTCACGGTGAGCGCCAAGGGGAGCCGCGTGGCACGTGCGGAGGAGGCGCTCTCCCACATGGGCAGCTCCGTGAGTAACGCGGGGAATCGTGTGGCCTGGGCTGCTCGGCCACCAGTGCTCGGAGGGAATTTGCATTCTCTGCTTTGCAGCAGCTCTTAGGTGACAAGGTTTCAGGCAGTTTGTGAAGTAGCTGTACCTGGGCTTCTTGACCATGTTCCTGTGGGTGAAAGCTTGTGGGGCGGCCGTGTGGCCGAAGCAGGAAGAACAGGGTGGATGTGAGTGAGCAGGAGCCTTTGCCACGAACCCAGGCCAGCAATGGGCGGGCAGCAGGGTCCAGTGAGCAGTCTGACCTTGTGTCTGCAGACTCTCACCCCACATCCTGGTTCAACCAACCAACCACTTGTAACTGAAGGACTGTTACCGAGTAACAAAAACCTTGTTTTATACTTAACCTGGTTGTCACCTGAGAATACAAAGAAATGTATGAACATTATCTATGCAGAAACAGATTTTACCCTTGTACCAATACCTTTGATCCAGGCTCACAAGCAGTACTTGACTTTGACCTTGACTAAGAAGTCCCTGTATTAGGAAATGTTCCTTTGTGATAGGGGATTAGAGCAGTGCTAACGCCCTCTCTCTTTTAGGTATTCAGTGGAATCACGCTTACAAAATTTGGAGGGATTGTGGTGTTGGCCTTTGCCAAGTCTCAAATTTTCCAGATATTTTACTTCAGGATGTACTTAGCCATGGTCTTCCTGGGAGCCACGCACGGGTTGATCTTCCTTCCAGTCCTCCTCAGCTACATCGGTGAGCTGTCCAGCCTGTGGGCGGGCGGGCAGGCAGGCGGAGGACGCATGTGGCCACAGGAGACGTGCTGCCTGGACGCAGCTTTGAAGTGTTTGGTACTGATGGGCCATTCACAGACAGGGCCGAGGGAGCCATCTCATGGAAGACGCCCATGTCCCAGCTCCTCATTAGTGCTTGGCCACTACCGCCTAGACGGCCGGCCTGGCTGCCGAACAGGCTGAGGGCGGGAACCAGTTTGAATGTCGGCCCAGGCAGCACCTCCACCGAGGCGTGTGGCCACAGGCCGAGCCGTGTCCCTAGCTCAGTGTTCCCGCAGCCGGCCTTTGCCATCCCCACCTCCACCTGTCCTGAGGATGCTCTAGTGCTGCCATGACGACTTGTGACTGAAAGAACAGGACGGATTTGCTTGATTGACAGCAGGGATGGGGGACGTCCAGCCCGAGGGCCGTCAAAGGCCTGTGCAGGCATTTGGTCTGGCTCTGCCAAGGCATTAGGGGCGAGCTAATCGTCTGACCAAGCCAGCCATCATGGCTCAGTGGTTGAGCATTGACCTATGAGCCAGGAAGTCACAGTTCGACTCCCAGTCAGGGCACAGGCCTGGATTGATGTTTCTCTCCCTCCCTCTCGAAATAAAAGTAATATACATTTAAATGTTAGTTTTCAAGTTGAAAGTTTGTAAGGCCCATGAATGATGTTACCAATCTCCAAATAGCCCTTGGCAGAGAAAGGTCCCCGGCCCAGTTATCAGCTTTGTAACCAAGTTGAAGCATTGAAGTAGATGGAGAAACCTCCTTAGAAATGACACAGCTTTCTTCTCCTTCCCAGGACCATCTGTAAATAAAGCCAAAAGCCTGGCCACGCAGCAGCGCTGCAGAGGCACAGAGAGAGAGCAGCTCCATTTCTAGCCCTTGTGGGCCCGGGGACCTGGAACTGTGTCTGCGGGTCGGTCAGAGCCCCGGTGGAAGGAGCTGCGCTGTCAGGTTAAGAACGCTGGACGTCACCAGACGCGGGCAACGGGTCGAACAGCAGCTGCTCTGGCCTCACGCCTGTCCACTCAGGAATGTGTGTTACTAACAGTGGAGGAGCCCTGGACGCATCTCCAGTTCTCCCAGCATGACACCCGACTCTCGGCGAGGGGAGGTTGACACCGGACGGACACTGTGGAGGCACTAGGCTCCCTGGCCCTTCTGAAGGCCAGTCCGTGCGATGCTCCCTTCTGAGAAGGGAACCAGCACACAGATCCCACCGCCTTTTTAGTAACACTTGAGGATGCTGCAGGTACTTTATTATAGTCTTTTGTAGTTTAAAGAGCTTTATTAATGCAATAAATTAACTTTATACATTTTATATATTAAAAAATTAGCGCGTGATTTCAGAACGTCGTAGGCCTCATGAGAGCTTGGTCTCCAAAGACCTGTTTGAAAAAAGCCACGTGTTCTTCGCAGTGTTCTCCTGGGGGACAGAGGGAAGCAGGGTGAGCATGCGGCTCCCAGGTGTGCGGCCCCTAACTTCCTCTTTCTAAAGCACTCCGTGTTCTAAGCCTCTGGACTGTCCTTTCCATTTTCATAGCTCACGCCTTTGCAAACCTGGTCAGGGACCTCACAGCTGCCAGCAGCCCCACCTGCTGAGACACAGTAGAGGTAGCCTGTCCTGGTCCAGTGCCCTGCCTCTCCGAGCTCGAAGAGCTGGAGCCCTGACATAAAGTTGTCTGTTCCTCCCGCCCTTGGGTTTTGTGCCTTTGGATCAGAGTGACTTGCCCGTCGTGCTTCCTGTCTGACCCAGAAACATTAATAAGCCCCAGGCCCCCTGAACCCTCAGGCACCGGCTCCTGTCCTAGAGCGGCTGTTGGCCTGAACTGGCTCTGACCGCCTGAATCGGGCCTGCATACGCTTCCCCTCCCCAAGCACTTCAAGTTCCGCATCATTTAGGCCCTGGCACACGGAGATCACTCCACTAGAATGGTGGGCTAAGGGCGAGGCTGGCTGTAGTGACTGTTTAAAACCGAACTCAGGAGTTCTAACCGAGGGCCCCTGGCCCACCCGCTGCCAGTCGTCCTGCGGCTGCCCAGGCCTGCTCACGGCTGCGCCTTCTCACCTGGTGTGAAGCTGGGGTTCCCCCGTAAACGCTGGTTCCGCTGCTCGAAGAAGCGGAAGATGGTGTAGAAGAGCATGCGGTCTTCGGTCTGCTTCGCAGCATCGAGGAACTTGCGTGCAGAGACGCTGTCATGGCCCCCCACACCCCGGAGGAACCGCAAGGCGGCCAGCACCTGGTGCTTGGACAGCAGGACTTCCACGATCTCATCGTTCGCCGTCGAGAGTCGCTGGAGAGAAGCTCAAGTGAGCGCGAGCACAGCAGACGCTTACTCGCCGTAAATGTGGGCGCACCTTACCTTCAGCATGTCCAGCGACAGCTGGTGAGCAGGAGGGTAGAAGCTCTCCAGGGACAACAGCAGACACGCCTGAAAGACAGGTTCCGGCTGTTCAGCACCAGGTGCTGGACGCGGTTAACAACCGGGTATCCCTGGCGACACCCACCAGAGGCTTGGAGTCGCTGAGCACGTGGTACTGCAGGAGCTGGTGCAGCGTGTAGAAGAGGTTGTGCTGGACCAGCGTCTTGATGACGAGTTCGTGCAGGTAGTGCTGAAGCAGACAAGGAGACGGCTCAGGTGTGGCGGGCTGCAGCTGCTCTGAGGAGCTCCCATCATTGGAAGGGACCCGGGTGCGGGGGAGAGCCCAGCCTCTTGTGACAGGGCTCATCCTGACTCGGCACACGTGGCAGGTCAGGAAATGAAGGGCTCGGGCGCCGAGTCAGGACGGTGGGCCGTTTAGCACAAACGGCATGGCAGTTAGGAGACGGGCAGTGCCGTGTCTTAGGTATCCCTACTCCTTTGATCAAGACCCCATGTGCCCGGAGGTACCTGCACTGGAACCTGGAACTGGTTCAGAGAGCGAATGTACTCCATCAGCACGGCGACCACAAACTTCGGGGGCGTCTCCTGGAAGGAAGCAAAGGTGGTCTCAGGAGCATGCGAGCTGCAAGGAGCTTACCCAGCATCCTTCCTTTATTCCTGCCCCTTGGCTCTTGTTCTCCCTCACCGAGAAATGTTAGGCTGAGTATTAGAGCCTAATTACCAACATGGGTCCTCCCAGAATAACCAGCTGTTCTGAGTCCTAGTTTCCTAAGTCCCTTCCAAGGATCTGTTCCGAGACCCTCTGTCCAGAGCAGCTGACGGCAGTCACTTACCTTCTTCTCCGTGAGTGCCGACAGCACGTGGGTGTACATGTCGGACTGGTCGATCACGGACTGGGTCCGCACGGGCCTGCGGAGGAGCGGACTGCACCGGCTCTGCCCAGCTTCCGCCGCCTGCACAGCACATGACAGGTCACCACCCTGGCAACAGACATTGGCCATCGATCCCAAAAGACGGACTCCTAGATGCTGTGAGCCTCAAGCCTGAGCAGGGTACAGCTCCCAACCTGGATGGACAGACTCCCTGTGCTCTCTGGGGAAGGGCCTTATCTTGACAAAACCTCGCTCACGGAGGATGAGCAACAAGCACAGCAGTCTTCTCAGGGATATCATCCTGCTGTGAGCCCCTTACCAACTCACTCATTTTCTCTGTCAGACTGCCTGGCCCTTGTTGTCCATAAGAATGAAATGGCATCTGTGCTGTATGAAGCCTTAAAGTACATACTTTTGTAAGGAGTCTATACCGAGACTTTGAATAAGTAAGACTCCCAACTACTGCCTAGGAAAGCTCCAAGATCTCGACTCCATCACCCAACTTTAAAAGAAACAACACATTTTTATTGATTTTGGAGAGGAAGGGAAAGGGAGACAAACATCAATGATGATAGAGAATCACTGATCGCTGCTTCCTGTCGTCCCCCTACTGGGGATCGAGCCTGCAACCAGGGCATATATCTTTGTCCGGAATTGAACCCTGGATCCTTCAGGCCGCAGGCCGATGCTCTATCCACTGAGCCAAGCCTGCTAGGGCGTGTCTCCTAACTTATAAAGCCTGAGACCAGCGCAGACGCTGAGGGCAGAAGCTAGGCGGTGCCCGAGAACCCACAATGCTCAGCAGCACCAGGTGCTGCAGACAGACCACCCTCCACCACCCAGCGCTGAGAAAGCCACGAGCCACAAAGCAGGACGCACAGAAACTGCCACCAGACCGCAGACCCCACAACCCAGCACTGAGCAGCAGGACCAAGAGAAGGAGCAAGACGAACTCAGCCTCCCCACCTCCCGGAACCGCATCTGACAGGCCAGGACCACAGCTCCGAGCCACGGAACCACGGCTACTGCAGCACCTGCCAGTCCTGCTATCCTGGATTCGTTGAAGGTGGTGGAGTTCTGGCTTTTCTGTTACTGCTTAAAACCTTCCATTTTCAGCATTAGGACTAATTAGGTCCTTTAAGTGAAATCATTCATCCCACTTATCCTAACCCATTTTCTTTCTGGCTTCAGAAGGTAGGGTGCACTAATGTTATGTAGAAGGAGGAAAAAAAACATGGGAAATGATTCTACTTTTAAGACTAAACTCTGGCTTGGTAGAAACATGGATAAAAAAAGTAATGAAAAGATGAGACCAATTTTATCTATAAAATAGAAGACTAAGGATCTATCTAAATGTAAAATCCAGAAGATAAACCCCAGACAAGGGGAGGCACTAAGGGAGATGGGATGCAGGGTCCTGAGTTACTGCCATTTCCTGCCGCAGCTACAACTACAGGCGAGGAGCCCTCAGCACAGCGCCTGCGGTCACTCACCGCTGCGTAGCTCTGCTCGGCGTCCAGGTACCTCTTGTACTCCTGGTTGAGCTTGTCGAAGACGGTGGCCACCACGGGCAAGGCCGCTCTGTCGGGCCCGCTCAGCACTGGGAAGAAGCAGGTGCACCAGTCAGCTCGCTCCACCTGCCGTGCATGCTGCTGGGCCAGCAGCATCCCCTCCAGGCCAGCAGCACACACGGCCTCAAAGGCGCCCAGAGCGTCCAGCGTAGCAACCTGACGCCTGGAACTCACAGCCCTCTGGCTCCTGAGGAGAGCAGCTGTGACCGTATCAGTGAAGGTTCTCAGTGTAGATGTTGGGAGGCAGAGATTTGAATTGTGAAAAGTGTTTGCTGTAAAAGGAGGGGTGGGGGCTCCAACCTCCACATGTACGCATGTTCAGATTCCCTCTCCCCTGGAACCATCCGGTTTACTATGAGTTTTTACTATCAAGAGTTCCCAGAGAGATTGATTTCAGAGGGCGGGCGACAGAAATAGCGCTGATGGGGAGGCTGCCCGACAGGGAGTCCAACTGAGACCTCCTGGCTCATAGGTCGACGCTCAACCACTGAGCCACACCAGCCAGGCACTACAAGTCTTTTTTCTATTTATCAGCCTTTCTGGGGGTGTGGTCACCCACCCTTCAAGTGCAGACAGGCCTGGGAAGGAGGGCCAGCACAAGCTGGATGCGGACGAAGGAAGGAGCCCCTTACTCTGGGAGCAGACGGCCAGGATGACCCTCTTGCACTCCTTTCTCTGGAGGAGAAAGTCCATCAGGCGTCCTTTGTCTGGCAAGAGGTTGACGATGGGCTGCAGCTTCACCTGCAGGTTCCAGAGGTAACCTGGGTGTGAGAGGCAGCGATGTCATCATATAACAAGAACCAGAACAAAAGCCCAGAAGTACGCACAGCAATCGATGGCTTTTTCTTATTCTAGCCCGAAGCCCAGTCTAGGACATGCAGGACATACTGACAACAGGACTGACAGCCAGACTACCACGCACCCTCTATGTTCAAGCTGCATCTCCCCAAATATGGGGCCACAAGCACTCTCCCCTCTGACCTGCGGCCATCCCTCAAACCCACCTTGGCTAGCGCTGATGATGATGTCAGGCTGAAAGACAATCCAGGACG